AACTATAAAATAAATAGTACAATTATTTCACTTGTATACTCACTACCTACATACTACAATAAACAATTTATTATGTAGCGACACCACATCACAACATATATAACGCTACAGTGGTAAAATAACCACCGCGCTACAGTATCACTTAAAATTTTCTATAATGCACGTTCCACCCACAAGGTTCATAGCAAACGGAATCCTAAAATCATTATATAAATTCTATTATTTTGAAATGATACTCAAATTTTCATTGTTTAAAACCATTATTTTGTTCATACGCCCAATATAGCAGAGCAGTTCTTAAATTAACTAAAATGTAATCACAGTGGAAAAAAACTAGTGTATCTGATGTAACGTGTAGTTGGTTTAAGAACTGATACTAACTGATTATATGATATGCAGTGTTTAACTATATCAAGTTTATATCTCATACTGCTCAGTTCTTGCCATGGACAACTGGATATATTGTTCCAGTCCCTAACACCGTTTTCTCGGAAGATGCCTTATGCAGAGACTCAATCCGCATTAAAGTATGTTCAGCATAATATTGGAGATATCTACAAAGAGGCGGTACACCTTTTCGACAGTATCCCAAATGCACTAGCTAGGACTATGAGCTACGATGGAGTGTTACGTATGAAGGAGTACAATATTTCTCGGGAGCGTATCCGCGAAGCATATATAGCGGGTATGGCCAACGAAGACGTGAAACTCAGTGTTGGAGAACTGATTTTGAAGTATGGACACCCGTTAGAAAGGCACGAGGTAGTTACTGAAGATGGGTATATCTTGACAATGTTCCGGATACCAAAGAAAGGACCGGTCGTGTTCCTAATGCATGGATTGCTGGGAAGCGCTGACGATTACGTGATAGGAGGGCCAGAGGTCAGTTTAGCATACCTCTTAGCAAACGATGGTTACGACGTATGGTTGGGTAACGCTAGAGGGAACAAACATTCGCGTCGGCATATTAGTCTCGATCCCTCTGAACCTATATTCTGGGAGTTCTCCTGGCACGAAATCGGTTACTACGATCTGCCTGCAATGATTGACTATACTCTTAACATTACAAATAAAAAGTCACTGTTTTACGCCGGACATTCTCAAGGCACAACCTCATTCTTCGTTATGGGCTCTCTAAGACCTGAATACAATGATAAGATTGCACTTATGATAGCATTAGCTCCGACTGCTTATATGTCACACATGAAATCACCATTTCCCAGATTGTTAGCTCCCATAAGTTCAATAATAAACATGGTGTTAAAAAGCTATGGTATACACGAATTCTTTCCAGATAGTCCAACCATGCGTACCTTGATAAGCATACTGTGTGATACGGAACAAATGGCCGGAGTTCTGTGTATGTATATTTTAATGATGTTCTCTGGATTGACTTCGGAAGTTAACGTTACAGTTTTACCAGTGATCATGGGGCATGTGCCATCAGGTGGGTCTACCAATCAGGTGCTTCATTACGCTCAGGAGATCATGTCGGGCAAGTTTCGGCAATTCGACCATGGGACTGACGGAAATATGGTAAAGTATGGTAGGAAGACGCCACCCAGTTACCCTTTGGAGAAGATCTCGGCCCCGATTTCGTTGTTCTACAGCGATAACGATCTGTTCTGTCAGCAAGAGGATATATATAAATTGTGCAGTAAATTAAAAAACTGTACGGATATGTATAGGATATCGAATGAATATCAGTTCAATCATTTGGACTTTGTGTGGGCGAAGCATTTCAAGAGTCTGATATACGAACGGATGTTGAAGCAGTTATGGACCTTTACTTAATTACAACAGAATTAAAATGTTTTATAAACTAACTAGCTGTGCAGCCGGTTTCACTCGCGTTAAATTTCAATATAAAACATAGCTTATTGTTACTGGAGCGGGAACACAACTACTATTTTAATAAAAACCAAATACTAGTAAAAATGTGTATTCTTCCCAAAAGGGCTCACAGCGAGGAGAAACAAAACAATATATAATTAGTCAAAAGTGACGTATAAAAAATATAAATTTTATAAAAAGAATGGTAGACAAGCTGCCAGTAACACCTATGTTTTATTCTGATGTATAATTGTAAAATATGTTATTCATCAAAATCCGTTGAGTAGTTTTTGCGTGAAAGAGTAACAAACATACTTAATATTACAATAATAAGATGTTATAAAGAGGAGAGATTTGATTATTTTGTTCATCTTTACATAGTATAAAACAAAGTCCTAGCCGCTGTCTACTCGCTTATATGTTAAACTAGCTGTACCCACGACTTCGTCCGCGTGGAATTTAACTTTATTTTTCTAAAATAAAGGTAGCTTAAGTTACTCCTTGTTACATGAGATACCTGCCAAAAAAAGTCCCGTTAAAATCGGTCCAGCCATTTTAGAGATTAGCCGGAACAAACAGACAGACAGACACACAAAAATTGTAAAATATGTTATTTTAGTGTATGTACCGTATTTATATTCATATACATTTCAACTCGTCGTGTACATGGTCGCTAAAGGTAAATAAATGTAATTTATAGAGTAACTAGCTTTTGTCCGTGGCTTCGCTCGCGTTAATTTATCCCTCGTTATTTCTCCCTCATATCGGTGGAATTTATCAAAATCCTTTCTTAGGAAATGTCTACGTCATAGTAGCTTTATGGATGCAAAGTCTCAGCCCGATCGGTTTAAAATTGACAAAGTTTCATACAAACTTTCATCCCCTATTTTATCTCTTTGGGGGTAGAATTAATCAAAATCCTTTCTTCACTATGTCAGTCACCTTTGAGTTATATATATTTAGACTTGTGGCCCGCCCTGGCTTCACTCGGGTGATCATAATTTTGTTAGTTTTATATTTAGTAGTACAACATTGGCATACAGTACTGTGAAATAATATATCTTTTAAACATTGAAGGATTTTCTTAAATCGAGTGAGCAATTTCAGAGTATCCTTTCCTCATAACAAAATACCAAATTCCATTCTGTCTCTTATATGTTGGTACTAATCTTTAAAGAAGACTAATATTTTAGGAACAACTAAAATTGACATTTGTTTTGTCTGTTGTAGGTCAGAAATGACAAAATGTGTGAAACTTAAAGACCTTAAAAACCACATATGTACCACATTTTTAAGCAATAAATATTCATTTTACAACTCGAAAGCACACCGAACTGTCGATAGATTCAAAATCAAATTCAAAAATCATTTATTCATGTAGGACACATTAGCCGCTTATGAACGAAAAGTTTTTTACATTATAATTATAATTTTTCTCTACCGTCCACTTCAGTATATAGATCCAATTGAGAAGAACTGGCAAGAAACTCTATTTGAATATTTTATTTATTCATTCTTTTTTTGAAAGCCAATTTATTTACAAAGTATATTTATATAGGTGTCTGTGTCTAACATTAAATGAAAATCTCATGCATGACGCTCGTTATTCAAGTAATCGTTTAGTGAGTAATAGGCCTTGCTCAATAAATATGATTTAACAGATTTTGAATTTATTTAAGGGTTATTCCAGTATATTCCATAAAAGACTAATTGACTTTTTCTAAACGTTACTTGGGGACAGCAATTTTGTCAATAGATCTATTATTAATATTGTTGTTATTTGGATTTGACATATCATAAAAGTAACTTTTTTATTATACTCAGGTCTTTAGAAGCCCATCACGAAGAATGTAGTCGTGCCTTGAGAATGTCTATAATAGACCTACCTGAATAAAGATATTTTGAAATATTGATATTTACTATTTGGTTATTTTTATTACAATAACAAATTAATATATTGCTACATATGTTATGTCAGATGCAGTAGATCAGAAACAGAGTCAACAATTAAAGAAATATGATTTTAAAAAAAATTAAGTTATTTACTTCATTTGAGAAAAAAATCAAAACACTACTCATACATATATAAAATAGTCATGTAGGTTTTTTGTTATCGTTTGAAGATGACATGTACTTCATACCACATAAACACATTTCCAAAAATATATAATAAGTTTTAACTTTGTTACGATTTTATTATATGTAAATAAGCTGTCTCGGCAAACGTTGTTTTGCCTTAAAATAAAAAAAAATTAGGGGTGGACTACCCCTAACATTTAGGGGGATGAAAAATAGATGTTGGCCGATTCTCAGACCTACTCAATACGCTCACAAAATTTCATGAGAATCGGTCAAGCCGTGTCGGAGGAGTATGGGAACGAAAACTGTGACACGAGAATTTTATATATAAGATAAGAAAACAATAAATATCCGTAAAACATGGATAATTATTATTCACATCATAAAGCCGAGAATTATTGATGTTTATATTATGTATATATGTAAATTAGAATGTATGGCGAAAATAATAAAAAAATGACTACGTTCCTAATGAGTGGTAGAGTAAAAAAATATGACTATTAAAAAGGCTTTATTAAGTTTATTTGAATAAAGATTATTTCTATTTCTAATGTATGTAAGCGTATTATTTCATGATAGCTAATTCAATTTTGTATTTTAGATAAGTAACTATGTTTGTTTGAAAGAAAATTAATCAAATTTCGTATTGAACAGTCTTAGTGTAGGAATAAACATCTCTGCATAAAAAAATTTTTCAGATTGGGAAAAATTCTTCTTTAGTACAACCATACCAAGCCGGGGCAGCCAACTAGGTTAAAAAATATTTTTTCATTGTAAAATTTGTACTTGTTGTTTCACCCAAAAAGAAAACCTTCCTTACATTTCCATTGTTTAAAAAATATATACAAATACAGTTCATTGGCACATATAAAGCGTTAGGTATGTGAGAAACTGTTTAAATTTTTGTGTAACATCGTCATTTGATCTGTTGGGACCCACCCGAACACCATGTTGTATCATTCATTCTTATTAAATAAGCGGAAAATCGACTTTGTATTACACTGTCTGTGAAAAAACAGCCATATATCAAGGTCAATAAATTTGGGAAGTGATTAGTTCTCTACGGATCTGATACTAAACGCTCGTGTGTAATGGCTTACGTTATAAACTCGTTCTTGTTTGTATTAGCTATATGTGCTTGCCGCGGACAGCTGCTCGATAGGTTCTTCCCATCAGTAGCGTCGTCCGCGCGAGAGCAGACTACATCAATAGCAGGCCAGCCTTTAATTGGGGCAATTGGAAAAACTGCCGGTGATATCTTCGCGGGTACTCTGAATACTTTCAGCCGAATCCCTGTAGCAGTAGCACGAACGATAGGTTACAGAGGATCACCGAGTATTATAAACAACAGAAATTTATTCGGTTCATCCGATCGCATTATCGCCGAATATAAATCAGGCCTGGGAAATGAGGACGCTGTTTTGTCTATCGGAGAACTCATCGTGAAGTATGGATATCCGTTTGAAGAGCACGAGGTGGTTACAGAAGATGGTTACATATTGAAAATGTTCAGGATACCAGGCAATGGATCAGTGGTGTTACTAATGCATGGATTGTTCGGCGGTGCCGATGATTTTGTGATTGCTGGCCAAAAAAGCAGCTTGGCGTATCTTTTAGCGAATGACGGATACGACGTATGGTTGGGTAACGCTAGAGGGAACAAATACTCTCGCCGGCACATCAGTCTTCAACCCTCCGAAGCAGTGTTCTGGGATTTCTCTTGGCACGAAATCGGCAGCTACGACCTGCCAGCCATGATCGATTACAGTCTCCACAAGACCAACAAAAGGTCGTTATATTATATCGGACATTCTCAGGGCACAACTACGTTCTTCGTGATGGGCTCCCAAAGACCTGAGTATAACAAAAAAGTTGCTCTTATGATAGCGCTGTCGCCCAATGCTTACATGACAGAAGTGAAGTCACCATTTGTGAGATTGTTCGCTCCAGGAACACCCCTGATTCACGCGGTTTTGAAAATCTTCGGCGTTTACGAGATTCCGTCGGACAATGTCTTAATGAGAATACTGAGGACTTTGGTATGCGGTCTGGGACCTTTATCAGAGATCTTATGCAACAATGTACTAATGCTCTCCGTCGGGGTTGGTTTTACTGAGTTAAATGCCACGAATTTGCCAGTGATTTTCGGTCATGAGCCTTGCGGTGCTGCTGTGAAACAAGTGGCCCATTATGGCCAAGAGTTCGTATCTGGAGAGTTCCAGCAATACGACTACGGTTCAGAGATGAATTTGCAGAAATACGGCAGTGAGGTGCCCCCAAATTATCCGCTGGAGAGGTTAACGGCTCCAGTTTCGTTGTTTTACAGCGACAGCGACTGGATGGCCGATCCAATCGATGTAGACAAGTTGTACAACAGATTGCCCAACTGTATAGATATACATAAAGTACCAAGTAAACAGTTCAATCATTTAGACTTTATTTGGGCGAAAAATTTTAAAAGTCTAATATATAATAGGGTAGTGAAATTGTTAAGAGCATTTTCCTAATAAAGTTAAGTGATAAAATAAATTGTGGTGTACTATTTTCCTTTTTATTCCCCGACGAAGGAAGAGAGGGCGTTGATAGTGTAATGTTTTTGTAACATCATAGCTCCCAAAGGAATCAACCGATTTTGATAATTTGAAAAATGACATTATTGTTTTTAGCTAGAATCTCTTTTTTTCAAGCGTTTGAAGAACCAATTCGTAGTCTAAGGGAACCCACATTTTTTTTATATCGGAGCTTTGTAATTATATTTTTAATTTCCCTATTTGTCGCCCACTTGTGGAAATTCGACATGTATTCATTGAAAATATAAGTTTAATTACACGGATATTGTGTGAAATGTTATTTCTAATTTAAAGTTTTTTAGACTTTATCATAAAAAATATTATGTTTCTGCATTCCTTCTTCATATAATCTATAATTATGCCATACTAGCTGTACCCGCGACTTCGTCCGCGTGGTGTTATAAGTACTTTATTTTTCTAAAATAAAAGTAGCCTAAGTTACTCCCAATTACATCAGCTACCTGTCTAAAAAAGTCCCGTTAAAATCGGTTCAGCCATTTGAGAGATTAGCCGGAACAAACAGAACGACAGACAGACAGACAAAAATTTTAAAAAGTGTTTTTTTGATGTAAGTGCCGTATTTATATTCATATGCATGCATTAAAAAACGGTTATTTCAATATTACAAACAGACACTCCAATTTTATTTAGATGTATAGATTTCATACAGGTGGTTATGAATGTCCACGTAATGTTTGTAAAAAGGGGTACAAAGTTACAGTTATACGTATTTTATTTTTTTATTTTATTTATTTATTTACTTAAAAAAGAAAACATGTGTACTAATTTACTGAAGAAACGATGATAGTCACAGAAGTATACAACTGTGTTGCGAATATCGACGCCCTTCACCCAGTTTATATAATTCCAAAAAAAAAAACTATATAAATATTATGAATACACAATCAGATATTATAAATGTACAATCAATATTATCTTCTCTTCTTGTGATAGAGTAATAGAATGTGTCACAAATAGATGCATCCACTGAATGCAATGGTTTAGTTGTGTGATAGCAAACGGGAATCGAAATTACGACGAGCCGAGGTTCGAACCTCTATAGGTGCTCCCAGACTGTATCTGTCAGGCAGGAGTAAACCTTTAGTCGCTCTAACCTTCCGCGGGTTTGAAGTGACCTGCAATCGTCGATATTTTCGTACGGTGAAGTTGAAATAAAAAGAAAATGAATATCTCAGGACAATTCACATAGCGCCATCTAGTCGCGTATTAGAGCTTGTGTTATGGGTTCTAAACAATTTTGTAAATACATACACAATATTTATACAAAAAAAAAACCCAGTCAAATACAAATAATCATACTCATGAAATAGAAATAGGGATAATCTTTATTCAAATAAACATAACATAAGCACTTTAGAATAGTCACATTTTTTTTATTCTACCGCTCATTCGGAATGCAGACTCATCACAAGAAGAATGAGCAAGAAACTTGTGTGTTGCTCTTTAAAATATGTATTGTTTTATTTAGACTTACATTAACAAGGATTAGGCATGCGACAATCAACATAGAAACCGCTACGCACTTAATCTCTGTTCAATCAGATAACATTGTCAGCGCTATTTTTAAGTTAATATTTTGTACAAAAACATAATTATAATTTACAAATTCTTCAATTTTATAATAAGCTTTTTTATAAAGAAAATATTTTATAAGATATTTGAATCTTTTTTCTGGCAAAATGAGTACAGATTCTGGCAGTTTGTTGTAAAACCTTCCATAAAATGAATGACTAACTTTCGTCAAACGGCACTTAGGTAATATGAATACAAATGTGCGATGGGAGACCTATCATCGCAAGTAAGGAAGTGTGCTAGATCGCAGAGGCCCTTGATATTTATTAATATAATAATAATAATAATAATAATAATAATCTCACAACAATTCACACAGCGCCATCTAGTCCCAAGGTTAGCTAGCTAAAGCTTGTGTTACGGGTACTAGATAACTGATACAAGTTTTTTTTTTTTTTCGTAAATACATATTATACATAGAAAACACCCAGACCGATACAAACAATCATACTCATGAATACAAATGTTTGTACCGTGCGAGGAATGGAACCCGCGACCTTCGGACGTAAGCGGTGTGCTTACCGTTTTAGACCACCGAGGTCGTCATATGATTTTGATCTCTTATCTATTTATTAATTTAATATAAGATATATAATATTATGTCAATATATATATATATATATATGTATATATACAATTGTTTATATAATAAAACAAAGACAAGATTAACGAATTAACAAAAAAATGACGTTCAATAAAAAAATAAATATATATAAACAAGACGTGACTATCAAAACAATATAAAACAGAAAACCAAAACGGATCAAAACAAAACAACAATAGATGATATGACGTAATCCGCTAAGAAAATTTTGATTAATTTTAACAAAACAAAATACGATGAAAGTTTGTATGAACCTTTCTCAATTTTAAACCGATCGTTGGTGAGACCTTGCATGCATAAATCTACTATGACGTATGGATCCCCTGAAAGGATTTTGATAAATTCCTCCTATAGTGTCCTATATGAATGTGAAGGATGGAGATCAAGACGACGACCAAAAGAAAACGCACCGGTATGGTCGTAGAGTGTTGTAATGACTTATGTCATATAAAACAATATCTTATATATAAAATTCTCGTGTCACAATGTTAGTTACCATACTCCTCCGTAATGGCTTTTGGCAGGTAGCTGATGTAATAAGGAGTAACTTAGGCTACTGTTATTTTAGAAAAAATCTTTTAATTTTCATAAAACTACTCTTTGCCGGGGATCATTTAAAATAGCGGCCTCAAAAACATGGAATGTTCTCCCACCACCTATGCGTGAAGTGAAAACAAAATATACTTTCCGAAAGCATTTTAAAGAACATTTGCTACAAGTTCAAAAAAATAATTGATAATAACGATAAAGGATTCACTAAAGGCGCGTGGGTGGCGACATTTACCTTGGCTGAAACTATTTGCTGGTACCAGAGAGCAAGTGTTATGGATATTTTTATTTTAATACTGCGATACCGTTATTAGAATACGTAAAATGCACCGTACGCATCACTGTGGGTATATGTATATATATTTTTTTATTTTATTTTATTTTTTTTTTTTGGCCCACATTGACTCCGTTTTTTAATGTGTAAATTATTCTTGTATTTCTTATGTTATTACTGTAAAAACGAGTTAATAAAAAAAATTCTATTCTATTCTATTCTAATTCAGAAAAATAAAGTTAAATTATTAACCAGGTCTTAACACGAATATTTTATGGCAAATAAAGGTATTTTTACCTCTCTCGACGTTTCGACCAGGTTTTTTTTTTATGGATGATAATAGAATGGTGCACCCGCCTGCGCTAACGGATTACGCTGGCGGGGCACCAGTGAGGATGATAAGATGAACATGAGGTCAGGTCAGTTAGCACATCGTGATTTCGACTAGGTTGCACTAGCCGTGGTCACGAGCTGACTACTACTGAGTCTTATTATACCTTTATTTGCCATAAAATATTCGTGTTAAGACCTGGTTAATAATTTAAATAATGTATATTAAACACGAAAGTTTAAAAATAACCAAATAAAGTTAAAATCCACGCGGACGAAGTCGCGGGTATAGCTAGTTTTAAATGACTGTTGATTATTTTTTTTTTAATTTTGTGTGAATCTAAATTATGATACCAAAAAGTCTATAAGTCAAAAATAAAAAAGTACCAAACGGATCCATCTGTGTTTACCCATTATGTAATTCGCGTGCGCCCGCGCCGATAGTTTTTAGGGATCCGTATTAAAACATACAGAACGGTACTTTGTTCGATTATCGATGTGACCCATTTCTTTTGTTAAAGTTTGTTTTTCTGTCAAGTAGCTATTTGTTTACTAATGTCAATTTTGATTTCCGAACCGATACGATATTGGAACCTTTAAGAAAAGAGTTTATTACTTCTTAAAAGGGCGACAAGGCATTTGCAACTCATCTGGTCTGGTTTGTCTATAAAAAAATTGCTAGGTGACAGTTTGTGTTCACATAAAATGATTAAATAAAAATCTTACTAATATTTTTTATATATTATAAACAGGAAAATTTGTGAGTATGAAAGTTTGTTACTCTTTCACTCAAAAACTACTCAACGGGTTTTGAGGAAACTTTACAGTATTATAGCTTATAGATCAGAATAATATGATTTATAGAAATATTATTTAAATTGGACGAATTATGATAAATGTCAAGTAAGTGTGAAGAGAGAAGAGAATGAAGTTCGCGGATCAGCTAGTATATAATAATAATATTCATTTATAGTCTTTTTTTTATTTTTTATATATTTTATACGACATAAAAATTTGTAGGCGACGCACTACGTTATCAAAATATTGTTTCTTTTTTTTTTATAAAATTAATTTTATTATTATATGTACGTATATATGCATAAATATACACGATACGTTCGTTCTTTGTCATTTTTTAATAAATATATATGAGGGTGCGCACAATATAATTAAAAAAATCTACCCGTTTTCTACACAATATTGTATATAATAATAATCGCGGTATTGTCACATATAAAATAAGTGCGTGCTCTCAGTTTGCGAAAATAAGTTTGTTTTAGTTCCATCCTTTACAGGTACTATGTTTTTTTTTCATACATTTTATATTCGCGAATGTCCTCGGTGTTATAGTTTAGAGTTACGTTGCGTTAATATTATTATTATTAATAGTAAGAAATAAATTTGTATTTCTAACAAAGCTTCTATTTCTTAGAGTTAGAGTTTAAGTAGAGAAGACATCAATATAGAAGTATGAATTATTTCTACGGAACCATTGATATAGAAACTGACTCGATCATCTTTGTTAGTTGTTTTTAGTATAATAAAGAAATAACAACCTCATTATAATAATAGCGATGTGACGTCATGTTTTTTATCTCTTACAGTTAAACTTTAAGTAAGGACGACAGCAATATACTCACTAAACGGTTGCTTGAATGACGAGCGTGCATGGCAATAGTTGTTCATGCACGGGATTTTCATTTAATGTTAGACACAGACACCTACGTAAATATACATTGTAAATAAAACTGACTTAAAAAAGTAATTTGATTGAGTTTCTTGCCAGTTCTTCTTAATTAGATCTATATACTGTACTGGATTGTAAAAAAAGTATAATATAAAAAAAATTACGTTTATAAGCGGCTAAAATGTCCTACATGAATAAATGAGTTTTGATTTTTTTTAAGAATGATAATGGAATGAGAAAATTATAGACCTTTTTAAGTTTTTGTCTGTCTATCTGTCTGTTTGTTCCGGCTAATCTTTGAAATGGCTGGACCGATTATGACGGGAATTTTATTGACAGGTATTTGATGTAATAAGGAGTAACTTAGGCTACTTTTATTTTACATCAAGTTTTTTTATCTCTCAAAGAATACAGCAATATAGAAAGAAAAATTGTTTACACGGAACTCGTAATACAGAATCCGACTCGACCATCATCAGTATTTAATAATCTTTGTTAGTTGTTTTAGTATAAAAAAGAAATAACAACCTCATTATAATAATAGCGGCATGACGTCATGGTTTTTTTTTTATAAATTCTTTTACCTATTCAACGTGTCTCGTCCATGGTGTTGAATTAACTACGGTCTCACCACAATAGTTGTGCGTTGTCATTTTTAACAGAATAGTCACGTTTCAAAGCCAAAAGTTGCTATTTAATGGCTATATCTATTTCTATAAAAAATCTGTTTCTATAAAAACATTATTAACCTTATATACGTGAAAGTTTGTGAGTATGGATGGATGTTTGTTACTCTTTCACGCAGATACTACTGAATGGATTTTGATGAAACTTTACAGTAATATAGCTTATAGTTATAGCTATAGTATAAAAGAGACGGTAATTCACGGCGGCCCATCGCTTGCAATTATACAAGGCGCAGATCAGGCCGCATATGGAATACTGTTCTTATCTCTGGGCAGGAGCACCACAATACCAGCTACTTCCATTTGACCGCATTCAGAACCGAGCAGCCTTCATTGGTAATCAACGTCTATGTGACAGACTCGACCCATTGGCTTTGCGGCGAGATATTGTATCTCTGTGCATTTTCTACCGCATATATCACGGGGAGTGTTCTGAGGAATTGTTCGGATTAATACCAGCTGCTGAGTTTCACCACCGTACCACCCGCCCGAAACTGAAATACCATCCTGATCATCTGGATGAATGGCGGTCTTCCACAGTGCGGTTTTCTAGAAACTTTTTGCCCCGCAGCAATGGTAGCAGCAATGGTATTTCCGAACCGATACGATATTGAAACCTACAAGAAAAGAGCTTATTCCTTTTTAAAAGGCCGACAACGTACTTGCAATTCCCCTGGTGTTGCGGGTGCTCATGGGCGGCGGTAATCACTTACCATCAGGTGAGCCGCATGGTCGTTTGTCCCCAAAAACTTATACTAAAATTATAATGTAAAAACTTGATGTTTATAAGCGACTAAAATGGTCTACACGAATAAATGATTTTTAAATTTGAATTTGTATGCCCGTACAACATCTTTAAACACGGTAATAATAGTTTCAGTATTAATGAAAGTTTTGTAAAAAAATGTTTTGATGTTCACAACACTACTACTAATTTATATTTTTTTAATAATTTTATTTTCAAAATATTCTTATGCTGTAGGCCGCAACTGGCCTTTACATCTTCACCGGCTGATAACGGGCGAGCGCAGATAGCACTCCAAATCCGTGGAAGGCCTTATGCGGCGGAAGGTCAACTCCTGCCTGACAGATACGAGTTTAGTCTCGAAATATGTGGAAAAAAGGACAATAGTGGCAACAATAATGATTCTGTGTCACGCTGTTTTAGGTTGACTGGAATAGATCTCTTTTACTGATTACTCCTCCTTTGCTAACAAAACTTGTAACATGTATTTGAAATCTTGTATCTAAAAGTGCAATAAAGAATATGACGGCCTCGGTGGTCTAGCGGTTTAGCACACCGCCTTTACTTCCGATGGTCGCGGGTTCGATTCCTCGCACGGCACAAACATTTGTAGTCATGAGTATGTTTGTTTGGTTTGGGTGTTCTCTATGTATAACAAATTAGATATTTCGATTACACACGTACAATTATAAAATACTGGCTACTCGCACGGGTGTACATGTATTATACATATAAACGTTCCTCTTGAATATCTCTATCTATTAAAAAAAACCGCCTCAAAATCCGTTGCGTAGTTTTAAACATTTAAGCATACATAGCGACGGACAGACAGCGATAGCCACTTTGTTTTATACTATGTAATGATATACATACATAAATAAATACATACATACATATATATATACAAAATATAACTCAAAGGTGACTGACATAGTGATCTATCAACGCACAGCCCAAACCACTGGACGGATCGGGCTGAAATTTGGCATGCAGGTAGATGTTATGACGTAGGCATCCGCTAAGAAAGGATTTTGATTAATTCTACCCCCAAAGGGACAAAATAGGGGATGAAAATTTGTATGAAACTTTCTCAATTTTAAACCAATCGGGCTGAGACTTTGCATGCATAAAGCTACTATGACATAGGCATCCCCTAAGAAAGGATTTTGATAAATTCCACCCCTAAGGGGATAAATTAACGCAAGCAAAGCCGCGGACAAAAGCCAGTATAATATAAATACAATGGGGGTTACTAGTTCCCAATATTAACAATCCAATTCCCCACACCAGGGGTGCTACGTGCGCGTTGCCGACCCTTAAGAAGCCTTAATATAAAAATTGTTAAAACAGATACGCAGTCAAGTCACGCCGGGCAGAGCACAACAACGATCCAGCTTCCCAACGGTTGTACTACAGTCTGATGCTGAAGGAGGACTCGGATGCTGCACTTATGCGCATCTTCGAATGCTTCCTGGAGGCGGCGCCGCAGCTGGTGCTGCAGATCAGTATACTGTTCCAAGGTCATAGGGAGTTTACTGGTAAGACTGTTGTATTTTGATGTTTAAAACCTCAGTAGACTGTAGAGTAGTAGTTTTCTGGTAGACTGTAAAACGTCGTCTGCGTGGATTGCTTAGTTTTATCTATGTATTTTTTTATATTTGTACACATATAAATAAAATGCGAGAGTTTGTTTGCAATATTGAAATAGTCGTTTTTACTACATGCATATATGAATATAAATGCGGTACATACATACTTCGTGTATATAATAACATACACTGTACATAATGTACATAATAACATTTTTTATAATTTTTGTCTATCTGTTTGTTCCGGCGTTCTCTGAAATGGCTGGACCGATTTTGACTCCTCTACTTGTTTGGCAGTCTTTATAAACTCAATCTAATAAGGAGTAACTTGGGCTACTTTTATTTCAGAAAAATAAAGTCAAAGTCAATCAAAATTGAAGATACATTATTAAGGTTATTTTTTTATATATATTTAATGTTACATTTTTTTTACATATTTCTTTTTATATATATATATATATATATAATTCCACAAGTCCTCCCGGATGTCAAATTCCAGACTATTTTCTTATACTTAATTACACATACACACACATTTTCATTTTTGCATTTTTTGTCTTAACCTAGTTCTAATTCTAATACTTTAGGGATATATTTAGGGTGCCTCCGGTCGCCACTCCAATCGATCCCCCGTCCAATTCAAACGGGGATCGATATTATGACAGCCTGAGCCGAGGTTCGAACCCCTAACGGTGCCCTCAGACTAAAGCGTATCCGTCAGGCGGGAGTTGGCCTTTATCCGCTGCATAAGTCCTTCCTTTGGTTTGGATCTCATCTTCATCCGATATCGTCCGGTGAAGCTGTTACCCCAGCTGCGGCCAACAGTTTAATTAGCGTAATCTTTTTATCAGATTTATTTTCGGTCGAAAAAAAAACATTTACTTATTTATTTTGTCTACTACTATTTTATTTCTATTTCTAATTATACATTACTAATGTTCCAGTACATCAGATCCTCTCCATCACCTCATCCCTGATCACCATGGGCTGGTGTTTGGCCGCGTACCAGCGCGCGGTCAGGTTCGCCCAGCAAGACAAGCTGAATGTCAACTGGTTGGCCACCGGCATGCAGACGCTGTGGCACTATTTGCTCACTTGTAAGTATTTATTTATTTATTTATTTATCAACTTAACACGGTGAAGACTTTGAAAAATCTTATTTCTTACATAGAGTCCGCTATTTTCTATAGTTAACTAGCTGTTCCCGCGACTTCGTCCACTTGGAATTTAACTTTATTCCTCTGAAATAAAAGTTTTTGTCTAAAATAAAAGTAGCCTAAGTTACTCCTTATTACATCAGCTACCTGCCAAAAAAATCCCGTCAAAATCCATTTCAGAGATTAGCCGGAACAAACAGACAGACAGACAAAAATTGTAAAAAATGTTATTTTGGTATATGTATATGGTTTTTTATCATTTTGTACATAATTGTTTATATCGTCGCAGGCTTGTTCCCTGTGCTATAAAAAAAAAAGAAAACCCCTGATAAATGTGAACAATCAAATTCATAAAAACACATTGTGTGAGGAATCGAACCCGCGACTGTCGGAAGTAAGGGGTTTACTTCTTGTAATTCTAAGCACTCTACTGCGTACACTGACTTTCAACATCTGACTAGCTCTCTCACTTAAAAAAAAAGTGTTTGTTCACAGTAAGCCGCGTACTGTCAATAGCAGTGATTGCCTTCCTCTACCCGTACTGGACGATCCTGGCGTGCTCCCTTCACATCCTCACAATGACGTCATGGATACAATTCTACGAGCGGCCAGTATTCTGCGCACAGAGCAGACTAACCGAGATAGCGTTCTCTTTCGCACTCGGAGCAGTATACCTCTTCACCTACATCCTATCCGTCGAAGGTAGGACCCGATACAGATACGCAATTTATTACACAATCTGTCTGACACAAAATATTGTCTGTGGTCTCGTATGGTTTTTGTTCGTACCCGAAGAAATGAAGGCAGCGGCGTACTATTATACAGTTTTAATATTATGCATACTGCCATATGTATTCGGTATATTTGTAATGATATTGTATTATTCATTCTTCCATCCAACTCTTAGGAAAGGAGCTAAGAATATAACTGTATCAGTTAAAGTTAACGATCAAGTTTTGGACACAGTTAGTTGATGGTAATTTGGTTTTATTTTAACCAATATTTTATGTATTTTAGTATCGTAAATAGATTGTTCCTTCACAGAAAGTATAATTACATACATAATTATGTATAAAAAGATAAAAAAATAAAATGGGAGAGTTACTGCTACAAAGCGATTGAAATAAGTGTTAATATAGTACATGCATATATTATAAAACGAGTACATACATACTTCGTGTATATAAAAACAATATATGTACAATTTTTACAAAAACATGTTATTAAAATAAACAAGGATTGTCTGTCTGTTTGTTCAATTAATCGTTTAGAAATAATAGGACCGATTTTGACGGGATATGTTTGGCAGATAGCTGAAAATCACCAAGGTGGCAAATTCCTACTTCTATTTTATGATGAATTTATAAAGTTAAAGCTATAAAAATTGATGATCATTAAATGATCCATTTTTTTATATATATTTAATGTTACATTTTTTGATTACATATTTTTTTTATATATATATATATGATATCGCTGAAAAAAATCATTACGGGAACGTTTTTTCTTTATAATAATATTAAAATATAACACATAAGTATTTATTTTTTTTTTTTCAATAGCGGACATATGTTACTATACTAATAATTATAGAAATATATTGAAATTGCCAATAAAGACGTTAGAAAGCAAAATCCCCCGTCCAGTTCAAATGGGTGATATTATGACTATTTTTTAGTCTAAATTATCTAAATATGAGCGATGTGTCCTGTATATTAATTAACATCCTCTAGATATGAGAAGTTCGTCATATTTTAATATTATTAAGCTTTTTTAAAATATCTAAAATAATCATGTATTATCTGCGAGTTTGGTGATGTTCCCGGAAGATGAGCTGTTCACGGAATGATGCGTGTGACGTCCTTAAATGACGATATAGAAAAAAAAAATCATTTACAATGTTTTTGGAACATCGTACTATTTATTCATTTTTCTAATTATAATTATCAAAAACCGTAACTTAAAACACTTTACAGTCTTTTAATAACCTGATCACCATGATTAGAAAGTTTTAATAATCATATTAAACGCGGTCATTACAATGCAAGAATCTTTTATTCCAATGTAAATAAATCAAACCATCTAAACATTATACTTATTATTTTTTAGTCATTATATACACGAATTTTTATCGGTCTTCAGAATCAATGTACTGGTTCTTTCTTTGGTATAAAATCTTATTTCTCACATAGGAATCAGTTTATATTTTTATAGTTAACACATTTTTGGAAGACTTCCCTCTCTTTGGATTTTTTATTCATAAAATACAAGTAGCCTTTTCTTTTAATTACATCAGTACTTCTTTAAAGTTTTATATTTACATTTTATGTTAGGAATTGTTTTCTCTTGTTGATTTTATGATTTGGCTCAAACAGACAGAACAATTTTTCTTTCCGTTGTTTTCTCCCTAAAAATTCTGCATTTAATTCATCATTCGAATCAGACAAAAATTGTATAAATATGATATTGCCTTCCTTTCTTCCTGTATTTTTCTAATGCCCATTCCCAATTTTTTATTTTCGCTTTCGCTCTCATTGATTTCATCAATGTTTTTAAAAAAAAAAAGAAAATTTTCTAAAAATATGCTCTATTCATAAAAACACATTGTGTGAGGGAACTCTTTCACCATCATCTTATCTAAAAAAATTTTTTTACTGGCATTGTATTCTAAGCATTGTCGCAAGTAAACCGAACTTTCAACATTAACTTGCTATTTCGGACGTTTCTTTATTTTTTTCAGCATATGAGACTCCATATTGTAAATAACATTAAACATATATTAAACAATATGTTAGCACAACATACACTGAATTGATTAACCGTTAGTAATAATAACAGGGTGCGTTTATTTAAAAAGTCATTTCGGGAACGTCATCATCATTTCGAGAACCCTCCATCACCTTCAAACGGTCCGTCGAAATGACCGTTCCCGAAATGAATTTTTTATATAAGCGTGCCTTTTTTATATCGCATTAATCTTTGACATCATGTTTGGTTTTATTATTGTAAAATATTTGAGATTACTATTTGCTATAAAGTACTACAAAACTTATATTTCAATTTCCCAAGTTTAGAAACGCATTCCCGGTATGATGATGTAGTGATGTATTTGTAAATATTGAATTGAAAGATTCTTCCTCTTATTTTCAATTGTTTTGGCAAAAACGAATATAACGTATCAGTTAAACCGTTTGTTTACATCGTTTTGGACACATCACTGTATAGAAAATTTGGTTTTATAAAAAACAAAATTTTTATTTTAGAATCAAATAGATGCCTAAATCTGATAATGATGCTTACACTGCGGGACACAATATATTGAATTTTATTTAATTATCGTTCTTTCTTTAGTAATAACAATAATTAATTGATTTATGATAAAATTGTATAGATTGAGTAAGAAAAAAATAAAACTTATTTTATTTTATTAATATTTTCAACGTTAGTTTTTGAAAATAAAAAAGAATATATGTAACGATTTTTACAAATGATTTTTCCAATAAAATATTAATAAATGTATTGCCATGCAAAATATTAGGTACAGTCGTTCAATTAATATCAATTAGTTTAAAAACACCAAATTTAGACTTTTATTTGCTGATAAAGCTAATTCTCCACCTTGGTGATTTTGAGCCAGATGTTTTGAATTTATTTAAAGGTAATTACAATATATCTTTTGGTATGTTATTGTAAAGTTTTATACCCATTCCCATAGAAGACATATTGACTTTTTCTAAACGATACTTGGGGATTTCAACTCTGATATAAATAAATCAGAGTTTTATCACTTGATTCTACAATACGATCACTTTTGTGGGTCTTTGAGTTGAGGTCCAAGACATTACTTGTGTCTGATAATGGTCTTGTTACTGAGATTATGACGTCAACTGGTCCAGGAATAATTATTGTTATATTCCTGAAGATATTTTATGTCACAAACGTGTTTCCACTATAGCAATCTATTTACGATAATATAGCGTAATTTTTTGTATTATTTTTGATACTTAATAATTATTGTAAGTGAATAATGATATTAAAAAATAGTAAATACTCAGTCTAAGTGTGCAAGAGTGTAAAAAATAGCCAGTTAAGTAATCAATTTGTAAAGCAAGGTGCTGGAACTAAGAATAACACTGTTGAATAAAATTTACAATAATTCAATAAAACTATTGTATATTTACAATTGATATAAATGATAAATTTTAATGGTGAACCAGAAAAATGGGTTACTTTCCTTAAGTCAATTTTTGAATATGATTATGTAATTCGACATATCAGCAATTCAGCAATCGACAGTCACTTGTTCTTAATGTTAGTAGTTACTGTAGTATATGTGGAAAAGAGAAAGAAGTATTATGTCCTCTCAGATACACCACTATTCTTGCCGTTCGCAGCATAATGGTCACATGACGCCAGCAGTGTGCGAAAGAGACTACATAATGCTTCCTTCTCTTTCCCACTTATACTACAGATACATCATGTATATGATCATTTATGTATTACGCTCAATATTATACAAGAAATGGAATGGTGATCTGTCTATATATTTTTTAAGCTATACATGACATTGTAAAACTTTGTATTGTCTACAAAAATGTTTATAACTGTTAATTATACTAGACACTAGAACACCGCTTTACTTCCGACGGTCGCTGGTTCGATTCCTCGCACGGTGCATACATTTGTATTCATGAGTATGATTGTGTGTATCGGTCTGGCTGTTTTCTATATATATATATATTATGTATGTATTAACAAAAAATATGTAAGTATTTATATCAGTTGTATCACTAGATGACGCTGTGTGAATTGTCCAGGGTTATTATCATTGAATCAGTATAATGGTTCGGTTTTTAATCAAATCTATACATATAAAAAATTGCAGTGTCTATTTGTAAAATTGAAATAACCGTTTTTTACCACATGCATATGAATATAAATACGGTATATACACAAAAAAAAAACACTTTTAAAATTTTTTATCAGTTTGTTCCGGCTAATCTCAAATGACTGGAATGGTTGGACCGATTTTAACGAGACTTTTTTGGCAGGTAGCTGATGTAATAAGAAGTAAGTTAGGCTACTTTTATTATAGAAAAATAAAGTTAAATTCCACGCCGACGAATTCGCGGGAACAGCTAGTAATTCATTTAAATAATTTCATCAACAAAATCAGTTTTATCTTTCTTTATAATATTACAGATGTCTGGTGAATGTAATATACATTATTAAAGTAGATCTACGTCAAAAGTAAATCAGTTGATAAGAGAGTGATAAAGTAATGATTTTTTTTACATATTTATTGGATGTATCATAATTATTAAAGAAGAGATAAATGAGTAAAATAATCGATTTTCGTATATCCGTATGTATTGTATGACTCCAAGATAATATATATATATATTTATTAGTGTAATGTTATGCCATGTCTTATGGAATATATATATTACATGCTAAGAAAAGATGAATGGATTGTGTGAAAGATGATATGAATAAAAGAAGAGTATGTTCAGATACGACGACCCATAGAGAGCAGTGGAAGAGAATGACATACCATTTTACACACACACACGACAGACGCCCCGCAACACACCATATCGCGATATCAAACGGGCGCCTGCGCGCCCCTGGTCGCCCCTCCGATCGATCCCCCGTCCAATTCAAACGGGGATCGATATTACGACGGCCTGAGCCGAGGTTTAAACCCCCTAGTGATGCCCTCAGACTAAAGTCGTATCCGTCAGGCGGGAGTTAGCCTTCAGCCGCTCCATAAGACCTTCCTTTGGTTTGGAGTGCCATCTGCACTCGCCCCCTATCGTCCGGTGAAGCTGTAAAGGCCAGCTGCGGCCAATAGCATTAGAGTAGTCCGAAAAAAAAAATGACATACTGCGCCGACCATAAATAATGGGATAAAGGTAAGGCAATGATGAGTGTAATAACTCTGATATATAGTAATAATAGTAATTAAAGATAATATTCAATTAATATATCCCTGGACAATTAACACAGCGCCATGTAGTCCCAAACTAAGCAGAGCTTGTTGAACGTTATGGGTACCTAGGCAAATGATATAAATAGTTAGATTTTTTATGAATACATACATAATCCATACATATAATTAAAATTCAGTTTCTGTTTGTAATATTGAAATAACCGTTTTTTACTACATGCATATAAATATATATTCGGTACATACACCAAAATAACATTTTTTACAATTTTTTTAGTCTGTTTATTTGTTCCGTCTAATCTCTGAAATGGCTGCAGGTAGCATATGTAATACGGAGTAACTTAGACTACTTTTATTTTAGAAAAATAATGTTAAATTCCGCGCGGCCGAAGTCGCGGGTACAGCTAGTTTATAATATATGTAAAGAAGGAAGGGAATATATGTATCCACAGTCGTAACCCCAACAGACCAATTCCCATAAGACATACATTCCAGTTGTTTCTAATTCATTTATTCATGTAGGACATTTTAGCTTATGAACGCCAAATTTTGTATTAACACTTTTCCCTACCGTCCAGTTCAGTATACAGATTCAATAAAGAACTGGCAAGATTTCAAGTGAATTGTTTTTGTATGCTTGTTGTTGTGTGTATCGATTTGGGTATAATTATGTTTAAAAAACGAAGCTAGAGACTTAAGACTGCCTTGTAACTTTATTGTGATAAAGTATTAAATTATTTTGCTATAAGTTTTATAGTGTATTTTCTTTAATTTAAAGTCATCAGTGTTTTGTGTTTATCTCAGTGTTTCTCAACGTAGGACCCATGCCTCACGGGGGCAATTTGAAAATTGACTCTGTTAAAAATTATATTGAATGTGAATTTAATTTTATTTCGTATGTTTGGAAATATCACTTACTGTTTAAAACGTTAAAGATCTCATTTAAAAATCCTATTTCTCACATAGGGACCGGCTTTTTTTATTGTTAATTACATATATTATTTTTTTAATTTGTTTTTAGTGTACAATAATTTGAGGTAAACATTATTTAACCTCTAGATTTATTTCAATTAAAGTGCCCACGGGTGATCATCCGGTCCCAACATGTAAATTTACTTTCATTGCGGAGTGACCCACCGGTGGGCATGCGGTCTTGAACGTGTTAATCAACAATTTCATAGTGAATTTCGTGTTATGTTGCATAACAATTTTAGAAATACTAATGTGGGGTATGGCTCTAAAAAGGTTGGGAAACACTGGTTTATCCCATTATTTGGGATTTGGCAGTACGTATTTTTAAGAATAACATTATGTTTAAGGAATCTCAAAGTAATTGCCAAAATGCATGTACCCAGTTACATGTAAGTAACATTTTGAATAAAGTATTTTTTTACAATTAAACTTTTTATTTATTATCAACCATTATCAATACTTATTTTGAACCCTGACGCATTTGACGTATGTCTGTCTATGGCATTTTAGCTCAAAACGAATGGACCGATAATGATGCGGTTTTTTTTCTGAAAGCTGACATGATCGACATAGTTCTAAGTTACAATAATATAAATTCCAGGTGAATATACCACGATTGGTTAACTGACCTGACATCATGTTCAACTTATCATCCTCCACTGGTGCCAGCGTATACCATTACCATTACCATCCATTATCTATTAAAAAAATCAAAATTGGCCAGTCATGGCGCAATATAACAATAATAAATGAAAGAAGTTAAACGCATTTACATATATTATGTATACTATTATATAGCTATATTTATATTAACAATGTATTTATTGCAGTAGTTTCCTAAAGCAATTACCATATAAATGGAGCACGCTCCCTCAATATCCTCAACCCAAACTTATTCCATTCACTTTGATTGATCCACAGTTCAATTGCTGATTCCAAACATGACATGACCGCAGCCCCTTTCCACACAGTACTAGCTGGATCAATGTCTTTTGGTGATGTTACTATCTCTAACTGCTCAGTCTTGTATGTGTAAGGGATTTGTAACGCCAAACGGTTTTGAAGCCACAAATAAAGACCATGGACTTTCACTCCACCACCTACTATTAATATATTACTGTACATCTTCCGTTTCAACTCCTCGGTTGGACATCGGTCTATACTTTGCAATATTGCTGCGTCTAAGGCCAGTACCTGGCCAGGAGCTAATGAAACAACATCTGCAGGACCACCTTCTAATGCGTCAACGACAATATCTTCATCTTGGTTTGTTGTTGGCTGCGATTCGTTTGCAGTTTCACACTGCTGACTTTCGTTTGCACTCGGATCGGCTGTCTCACGTTTCCTCCCTGTATCCCTCAAGAATTCACCATCGAAAGGGTCTTCTGGATCACTAGGCTGGCGATTCTGTATCTTTGTCATTTTTGGGCCCGTTATTTTTAGTAGATCAGTGTAAAACATTGATAAAGGTGATATAATACATTCATCACCAACTTGTAAGGTGTATTTATTGATGATATCACCGGGATGATCAACGAGGAAGTTCTTCTCCTGCGGACCACACACATCTAGGTTGACATGACAGAAGTCTTCATACAAATTCCTCATCAGAACAACGTCGCGGGGAATATTTTCATTCCAATTCTTATATGGAAATGCACTTTTATGAAACATCCAGGATAAAGCCTGACAGACATCTCCAGCTCCGTAGTCCATCCTCAACCTAGTTGTTTTATGTGAAATACAGTCTTCAACACACGATATAGCAGTTTTCTGGTCCCCAATATCTACGACGCAGGCAGAGCCTATACCCGCACCAAAAGTTGCACCGACACTTTCCTGCACAAGGAAACAGTGTCCAAACCCTAGATCTCTTAATAATAATGACATTAAAGATTTCAAATGACTTCGCGAGTAAATATCGGGTATTAACAAGACACATCTATACTTTACAAGCTCTATTAGAGGTATTCCCAACTTATATTCTATAATGGAACTCCATATGGTGTACAGATCATTTAATACAGATGAAACTGAGCCTCCTACCTCAGAATGTATGTTAAAATCTCCTCGTTTGTATGGGAAATGTATGTTATATGGTAATTCCGGGTCAATATCGAGTACTAGATCGCCGATAACGATGTCGCACTGCACTTGAGGCCATGGTTCTCCCTCGCTCACGTATTCAGGAAGGGATCGACGATTGAAAGCAGCAATTTGTTGCGGAGGCGTAGCATATCTCCTTGCACCGTTGGATTGCACATACGTTTGTAAAGTGTGTGATATTTGCAGCCGGCATTCTTCTAATTCGTCGATTAATTCTTTTGTTTTCGGCACGCTGGGAGGAACGAACGAGTCCCTATATATTTTACCGCCCGGACGTCGTTTTCTTGCTATGCAGTGTAATTGTTTCACTGGTAATAGGTCAGACGCTCTTCCTATTCGCACATATAGTGATCCGGGATGTATAACTATAATCCTGTTGGACGGGAACTGCTGGAAATGTTCAGGACCGGGATCATAGGATGCCGGTGTACTCATTTTATTAACTGAATATACAACTAAAAGTTTTATTAGCGTTTCTCTGTATATATCTGCAATATCTATGTATAATAATTAGTAACATAAATAATAAAAGATTCAAAGATAGTAGTTTTTAAAATATATCAAAACTTTTGTTTACAAATTTCTAAACTTTAAGGTTATATTTTTTTCTTCTCCAATTGAAAAAAAAAGTGGATTAATTCACTAAATTATTCAGCTATATCTTTTGAAATTTTGTTCTGGTTACTCTCTATATTAAATATTTCTATATATTATTATTTTCTCAAAGAAGTAAATATTCTATTTAAATTAAATCAACTATTACTTTTTGTTGGTATTATTGTAATTCATATCGTATTCGTATAATCTGTGTTGTGTTAGGCAAAGTACTCAATGTCAATGTAAAACTTATGTCACTTTGACGCTTCCATGTCAGAAATTGTCGTGTCGTCTCGTTCTTACATACTTACATATTCGCAAATTGCAACAAAATAAATAATTTTGCTAATGATTTTTGCATATTTTTGTATTTATTCCTAATAAAATGGTGTCTCGAAGTTTAACAGAAGTGTTTGTATTAATGCGTAATAATGCTATCCATAGCCGGCACATATTCTCCGAACAGGTACGTATTTAGTTATATTGATTACTGTGTTTTGGTTTTGTGATGGGATTTCTAAAAAAAAAAACAATTACTAAATAGGTACTGTAAATTAGAATTTAACTGCTAATAAATAATAACTAATTTCGTTTGTAATTTTAGTACTGTATTGTTATAGTGAAATGATTATAGAGATATGTGTTTATTTTTAAGAAAAAACAAAAATTAAACACAGTATTTTCAGCTATAATATTTATTGTAAACTATATACAAATGTTAAACTAAACTAAACCTTAAATATTTACATAAAGAATTTCTTTTCCTTTTTATCATAGAATACAGGTTTTATACAGAATACAGTTTCTATATTTGTTTATTATTTGCTATCATCCTCATTATTTATGAGTCTCTGGTACTTCAACATTTACATAAGTCTTGATCATGGATTGATTTAGTGATGTGGTGAATAAAATAAACAGTTTTAAAAACATACAATTTCCTGAGAAATTCTTCATAAAAATAATATAATATTGTTCTTTCTCAAATTTTATAAGTTCAATACTCATACCACTTTAAATACACAAAAAAACACATTAAAATCCCCAAGGATGGCACTATTTTTTAATTTAGGTAAAGTTTAGTTTAATTTTATTTCTTAGTCCTATAAGTTAGTTTTTAAAGTAAGGGGTAATGTAATCTCCCCTAAACACGATGGATGGCTAATGTACTGTTTTTTATTTGATGAGGGGTAGTGGGTAAAAGAATGGATGCAAACTGCCATGGATAGAAAGGATTGGCGGAAGAAGGATGAAGCTTTTACCTGAGGGGGTTGCATAACAAGAAAAATAAATCAACAAAAAATATAATAATATGTTAGAAATATGTGTGTAATATCTTTATACAGCAAAATACTGGCTGAGCTATGAAGTAGGAAGTGATTTTAATGGGTGAACATGCAAATTTTATTCAATAGATTAAAACTCACTGTTTGAGCATTATTATATAGATCTCATATAGTTATTCTCCCTAATTGAATTTGAAAAGGAATCTGTTTTTATCTTTACGATCTGTAATCATGTAAAAGCTCATTTGAAAAGAATAAACAGTTTCTTATGCCTTCTTCTAGCTCGAAAGCACTCCAAATTAACCATAGATTTGACATATCATAAGTCTGTAATAAACCTACATGAATAAAGTTATTTAAATTTGCTTTTGATAGAATGACTCTGAAAGAGTGCGGTTGATGAGGTCTTCCTCCCATGATGTGGAGGCGTCTATGGAGCTGAGGTCGGATTCACATGCGCCACCACCCTGGACGGATGCACTCGAAGAGGCTCACTATGTCATCACTCGGTATGTACTATCAAACTTGCTGTTCAACTGACATTGCCTGATTATACGGCACATCTTAATAGACGTAAAGTACCAGACTTCAACAACCTGGCATAAGCTGGAATATCTGAGGCTGGATTCTCAATGGAGAATCACCTCTCACGATATTAGATAATCAACTAATCTGCTTATAGTCTGGAAGACTAATTGCATGATAAAAAAAAACAAAGAGTAGCAGATTTCGCCAAACTGAAGAGGAAACACTACACATCCTATGTGGGTGTCCACTCGTGCATAAACGAAATATATCCTCTGGAAAGTACACAGTATCCTGAGGAGATAAAATCCATTGCTCCGTAGAATATCCTTCAATTCTTGTCTCTGACATATCTAGGCAGCGACCTTTAAAAAAAGGCAAGCACAATAGATCTATGCAGGTCGCAGTGTAACAGGGCTCTTTAGAACAGAGCAATAGTCCAAACTCAAAAGGTTGTCTGGAAGAGATGGCATTAGCGATAAGACTGCCTTTTGTACTTAGTTTAATTTATAATGTTTTAATTATGTTCATGTTTTTCTATGTTGGTGCAAAAAGGGTAATAAATAAAAAAAAATTACATCTGTCGAACTTAACACCTAAGGACATTCTCTACCAGTCAACCTAATAATAAATAAGGCAAACTGAGAAATTAGTAAGCAGCACATTTTATAGATCTATGTAGGTCGCAGTGCTACAGGTGCTACAGTCACCTGACAATAGCCCAAACAACCCAAAAAAAAACTGTGTATTACAGTAATAGAAATAATGTTTATTCAAATAAACTCAATACTCAAGCACTTTTGACTGATCATGTTTTTTATTCTACCACTCATTAGGAACGCAGACTCATCACAAGAAGAATGAACAAGAAACATGTGTGTTGCTCTTTTAAATAATCATTGTAATTTTACATTTTTCAAGTCGAAACGTGTGGATAGAAATTGCAGTAATTTATTAGGATCAAATGTAAATACACAATAAGATTAAATCAGTCGTAGTGATTAGTGCAGACCAGTCCCTTCAAGCAATTCTCGTTCACGAATATGACATGAGCCAGTCATCATTGCGACCATTTAATTATTACATTAATGCACATTTTAGTTTACAAACATACCTACAATCCCCTTCACGTCTATTCCACAGGTTAAGAACAAAACTATCCGAGCTGCAGTCACGTCATGAGCGCCAGATCCGCCGGCCGGCGCTGGACGACACCACAGAGCAGCAGCACATCGGCAGATTGACGGCTGAGATCGGACGCCACTTCACACACGCACACACGCATCTCACAGCTATAAAGGCGCAAATACGACACGGTGAGTTAGTACTAGTGAGTCTTTCTTCTTCCTTCTAATAAACGCGACGCCTGAGCCGAGGTTCGAAATGCCCTAGAGGTGCCCTCAGACTAAAGTCACATTCGTCAGGCGGGAGTTGGCCTTCAGCCGCTCCATAAGGCGTAGCTAGTAATGGGATAAAGGCAAAGCAACAATGATGCAAAATTAAAAAAAAAACTTTCATGAAACATTGAATTTTAATGGTAAAAAATGTTTGGTCATCTTTAGTTATCAAATTGCCTTTTTGTGGCGTTTTCAGGTAACAAAACAGAGCAGAAGTTAGCCGCCAACGTAGTACTAGCACTGGTAACAACGTTACAAGAACTGAGCATCACATTCCGAACAGCGCAGTCCACTTATCTCAAATCGTTAACGACCAGAGAAGAACGATCAAACGCATACTTCGACTTACCCAACTTCGAAGAACTAAGTTTAAACGATAACGCAGACCTACTCTCAAATAACCAAACGGATCTGCTGTTCTCTCTACCGAGCACATCCGGCACCCAAAAACAAGGATATGCAGAGGATGATCAAGTCGATGACATGTTCCAAAAGCCAGCGTTGAATCAGAAACAAATGCTGTTAATGCAAGAGGAGAACACACGGATAGTTGCAGAAAGAGAGGAGGAAGTCAACAAAATTGTCCGTTCAATTATGGACCTTAACGATATATTCAAAGATCTAGGACAAATGGTCCACGAACAAGGTACGGTTTTGGATCGAATAGACTATAATATTGAACAAACACAGGTACAAGTGCATGAGGGGTTTAAACAGTTACAAAAAGCTGATAGATACCAAAGGAAAAATAGGAAAATGCACTGTATACTCATATTAGCTGTAACTATTATTGTATTAGTTATATTGTTGATTATTGTGAAGAGTTAGTTCTAAGGATGCCTTATATTTCGTAGTGATTGCGAATTTACAACGCTTAACACCTGAGGGGGTGATGTACAGTATAGGCTGTGTACAATATTATCATCTATTATCTTCAAGAGGGTATTGTTATAGGTTGTTGATAGGTTTATTACGGCGGTATTGGAGTTTTTTTTGTATACTGCTAATTGACAATCTGCTTTTTATATAAAATTAGTGGCGTAGCTACCTAGGGGCTAGGCAGTTCTCCAGGGCTCTCAAGTTCAGAGGATCCTCGAACCCTTACCAGAAAATTTCAATCGAACTGAACTTTTGAAAATTTCTCCCATTTCGAAAATATATATTACACATTGCAACCTGACTTTAATCATGGCAACTCAGTTGAGAGACTTCGAAAGTTATACCCCTAAATTCTCTCTGTGGGTTGCTGTTTCAGATGTAGAGTTAGATATGGCAATAAAAAAAATAGATATGGCAGTGAAATTACAGAATAAGAAGCATGACATCTTAGTCCTCAAGAATGATGTATGGGTGTCACATGAGGTATGGATGTCACATGTTAATGCGACGCTTTTTTCTTTTGACGGATTTGGACTATTGTTAGGTGCTAAGACCTGGAGCACTGCAACCTACATAGATCTATTGTGCTCGCCCTTTTTCAAACCTATATAACCTATCCCATCAGTACACAGTGATAGAGTATATACTTTCCAAAGGAGACGTTTCGTTTATCCATGAGTGACCCTACATGACCCTAAAAACCCTAATAATCCCCTAATTGTTAATGTACAGTTGTTTATTACAATTGTTAACTATACATAATGAAATAGGTTAATTAAATGCACACTCTAGTCTTTATTTATATTAGATTAAGCTAAAATAATATTTTAAATGTATTTATTTATTTGTTCAAATTTATGAATGATGGTTGGGTATGAAATTGTACAGTCAGCAACAAAATTTGTTAAGTAAATTCTTGTACCAAGATAATTGTGAAAAAATAGACCCGTGTTTTGTTATAGGTTTATTATTACAGTGTATAAGAAAATCTGTATAAGGGCATTTAATGTTCGATTGTCTAGTCAGCATTGAGAGCCATACAGAAATGATCATACGTTATGTATAGGGGCCGGGAGAGTTAGCACATGTTAATCAGCCTCAGAGTTAATTTTTTTTCTAGGCGAGCCAAAAATTAAAATAATGATGCATCCTCTAAGAAGCTAACATTTTTACACCATTCTTTTCTTAAGCGGTTTAAGTCATAAAGGGCAGTTATAGCCAACTGCATTATGATAGTGTGAAAAGTGTATGCGCTCTGCGAAAAATAATTTACTTGACAACCTTAGTAGTTAAGTTTTCAAAAGTGCATTAAGATGAGCTGTGTATTTGCCTGCCAAGTTCGAACTTGCCGTCCCCAGAGCGGGCCGCCTGGGCACTGGCCCTGTGTTGCCCCTCTAAATCTGGGTCTAACGTTCAGGGACGGATCGTGAATTTGTGGAGCTCTGGGCTAAATATACTTAGGGGCCTACCTAATTATATTACTCAACCAAAAAAATACACCGACCAAAGATTCGATTTCGATAGACGCGCACTTGCATGGGTTGATTGATCTCAGGGTTGCCAACCTTATGATAGGTTTTTTAACATTCTAGATATTTTTTATATTCTAAATATCGTTTCAGTGGCGTCTGGGGACCCTTTCTATCTTCGGGACCCTGGGCTGAAGCCCAAAAAGCCCTTAGGTAGATCCGTCTCTGCTAACGTTAATTACTGCCGGCCGGGGGGCCGGCTATTTGCGTATGGCCCCTAAACAATCTTAACGATACGTATGTCTGTATATTTATTATTTTGTCTGCTAACCGTACATGTTGAAATGTGTGTGCCAATACGTGATCCCTTTTAATTTGTAGTTAGTATAATATAAATTATGATAAATATTTAGAATTATTTATTCACATATAACATTCCTAAATATTGGTTTTCATTTTGTATACGATTTTATTATGGATTATATTGGAATGGAGCGCCCGCCTGCGCTAACGTTTACGCTGGCGGGGCACTAGTGGAGGATGATAAGATGAGCATGAGGTCAGTTTGTGACAAATTCACCAATTATTTATCATTATGGTTTCCAAGGGAACCGCATGGAGGTTAAACTCATATGGTACATTGCTAGCAATATGATCATCAGTTCATATTTCTAACAATCCCCTTTTTTTCTACACAATTTGGTTCAAGGTTTATAGGAGAGTGCGCACTCTTATAGCGTAGTGATTACTTGCTCAGTTTATGATTTAGATTTCCACTGTGGTGGGGGTTCAATTTGGTGAAATGTGATGTTAATTCAAGGGCTTGTGACTAAGGAGCATCCCAAACTATGACCCACCTACTGTCCTCAAATGTAGGTCTATTACAGACTCTTATGATATGTCTAATCTACCGTTAGTTCGGAATGATTTCGAGATGAGAAGAACTGACGAGAAACTCAGGTGTTATTCTTTTCAAATGCTTGTACATGATTACCAAATTCATTTTCAAATTCAATTGGGGAGAATGTAATAACCACCAGTATATGATATGCATTTGTGTCAATCATTCCCCACAAAGGACAGAAGACGGTAAATAGGTCACAAATTTCTGTAAGATTAGTCCAGAATATATATGGTGGATGTTGTTGGGTTAGGTTATTCTATAGTATTTATTACAGATAAAACGGATAGTGTTTAGTTTTAAACTTTCACATAGTTAAACGGGTTTTTAACACCGCGTTCGGGTATTATCGCGGATGTTTGTTTCTCAGTTTGCTTGTTTATTCCATACTAGCTACTTTGTCCGCGTGGAAATTAACTTTTATTTTTCTAAAATAAAAGTAACCTAAGTTACTCCTTATTACATCAGCTACCTGCCAAAAAAACTCCCGTCAAAATCGGTCCTAGCTGGACCGATTTTGATTTCAGAGATTAGCCGGACAAACAGACAGAGAGACAGACAAAAATTGTAAAAGACATATTTTGGTGTATGTACCGTATTTATATTCATATGCATGTAGTAAAAAACGGTTATTTCAATATTACAAACAGACACTCCAATTATATTTATATGTATGAATGGATGATGATGGGAAACGGATTATGATTTGGCCGGATACCGGATATTCCGGAGCGCCGGATATCTGGCCCTTTAACGCATTACACACTGCGCATGTAGTAAAAAACGGTTATTTTAATATTACAAACAGACACTCCAATTATATTTATATGTATGAATGGATGATGATGGGAAACGGATTATGATTTGGCCGGATACCGGATATTCCGAGAGACGGATATCTGGCCCTTTAACGCATTACACACTGCGCATGTAGTAAAAAACGGTTATTTTAATATTACAAACAGACACTCCAATTATATTTATATGTATGAATGGATGATGATGGGAAACGGATTATGATTTGGCCGGATACCGGATATTCCGGAGCGCCGGATATCTGGCCCTTTAACGCATTACACACTGCGATCAGTTTGAAGTGAATATAGGCGCGGTATCGGTGATCGGAAATATTCGGGTGCGTTCGGATATCATCGTGCGTGGCTGTTTTTCTGTTTGCTTGTTTATTCCATATGTAATACCTACATAGCGAGGCATTTATCATACTAATTAACGACATTGGTGACGAAGAGTTCCGCACTTTTTATTTATTTTTTATATCCCCATCCGGCATCCGGTCGGATAGTAAAAACGAGTGCGGATAGGATATCTGATAGTTATCGGATATCCGTTTCATTATCAGTATGGGAGTGTGGGGTACAGTGGTTACTTTATTTTTACAAGTGCTATAACTTCACCTTACTACGACTAGAGACTATTTAAGACGCGGAAGAAATGTAAGAACGACAAAGTCACGGAGTCGCAAGTGTTTGTGTGCACTACATGCAAAGCTACAATGATCTATCCACTGTGACCCGCGATCCACTGTACCCCACGCTCCCCTATTTATTACACACACATACATACTATATTTATTTTAATCCCTATTGTTAATATTAATTAATTAAACTTCTGATATGTCTCTAGCTATTTAATATAAGTAATAGATAATTGTAAATAAAATTAATATATTGATTATAATTTATAAAAGACACCAGTCTATGAATATATAACGATGGACATTTTTAAGAATTTTTATTTCATCTTCAATCTAAAAAAAATATAGTGTCATAACGGCTATACACCTTTTTTTTATTTACTTGATGATGATGGAATGCACTCGCCTGTGACATCGGTTTAGGCGGAACACCAGTGCAGGATGATGAGCATGAGGTAAGGTCAGTTTTTTTTTGGGGATGATAATGGAATGGTGCACCCGCCTGCGCTAACGGTTTACGCTGGCGGGGCACCAGTGGAGGATGATAAGATGAGTATGAGGTCAGGTCAGAATTAAACACGATGGTTAGCCCATCGTGACTAATTCACCACATTACTTCCCCCAGGTCAGAACCCATCGTGACAAATTCACTAGGAATATATCACGATGGTTTCAAGGTGGGACCTAGCATGGTACATTGCTGGCAATGGGGGTTACTAGTTCCCATTACTAACAATCTCCGCTCCTACCAGATTTGGCTGGACAAAGAAAAACAAGAGTGCGTGGACCTGTCATTTTTCGAAATTAAAACCTAGAATTGCTTCGTTTTATATAAGTCAATTAAATGAACCACGACGTCTTAATCACTAAATATTTTAAAAATTAAATTTGATACTTGTGTAAATTTTTGTTAAAACTTTAAATTAAAAAAAATAATTTAAATACATTTAAAAAACTATAAATGCTTGTCTTGTAAAAAATCTACATTTTACCACGATATATTGGGAAGGGACTCCTTAAACCTACACCCAGGTCACAAGTTCTAGGAGTTTCCCTCTCTGCCACATGATGCACCCGGCTGGCATGGTGAGTCCATGCGATGCTAAATTTGTTTCTCTTTATGTGAATGACAGTAATTCAAAATAATAATTATCTTAAGACAGTTCACACAGTGTCATCTAGTCCCAAGTTAAGCTAAATAAAGCTTGTGTTATGGGTACTAGATAACTGATAAATACATAGATATATTTTTTTGTAAATACATACATATTATACATAGAAAACACCCAGACTGATACAATCATACTCATGAATACAAATGTTTGTGCCATTTGAGGAGTAGAATCAGTGACCATCGGAAGTAAGCCTCTTACTTGATATAATTACAGTAATTATTTATATAAAAAAACATCTATTAAAAAAAGCAACACATAAGTCTCTTGCTCATTCTTCTTGTGATGAATCTGCATTCCGAATGGGTGGTAAAATCAAAATATGACTATTCAAAAGTGCTTGTAATGAGTTTATTCGAATAAAGATTATTTCTATTTCTATTTCTCAGGCAGTGTGCTAAACCATTAGGCCACCGAACCAGTCATGTACTTAAAACAAAGGAATCTTTTCTAATTCTTTCAGCATGTCTAAGAATGGCGGGGTACAAAGTAAAATACAATTAAATTGCACTAAATAATTATAATTGTCAATGATCTCTCAATATTTACTCCACCATGAAGACCAAACCCTGGGATGTGAAGTGACAGGCTTACAAACAACATTTCATATTACGACTATATATGACAAGAGAATCTAATTTTATAATTTGAATTTAGTCGGCTATAGTTAAAATTATATTATTATATATATACATACTTATGATTCTTACTACAAATTATGAGAGAGAAATATTACATTAAAAATAGTTATTTCATTTTGTAAGGCCTCCAAATATTTAATATTTAAAGTTTATAAAACAAAACTTTGTACTCGAAACAACTCTATCAACTTCCCATCCCATTACAAACATATTCAAACATTCACAACTCAAAATACAATGCAAATTAAATATAATACATGGTACATATATTATTCTATGAATCTTTATGTTTACTATAAAATTCATCTAAATATTTTTTATAGGCGGTCTGATTCGGCCATAGATATGAAGCTTGTTGATTTAATGGACTTTGGGTGTTCGGTTCGGCTAACAGGCTCTGTATGGACAGCAGCACCGTGCGTACGTCATATAGAGCCGTCCATTTGTCCTTTAATATGTCCAAACATATTAAACCGCACGTGTCAACATTGGGATGGAAGCACGGAGTCAAAAACTTCACTATAGGCGGCGCGTATGGGTACGAATTAGGAAACTCCAACGATAGTTTGTACTTGTGGCCCGCGTATACAGTCTCTAATGGACCACTTATTGTGCCGATCCATTTAAATAGATTTTCGGATTCAGGGAACGCTGATATTCCTTTGTCTGCACATCGCATGAGTTCCATCAACTCTTTTTGAAGTCTACAAACAAAAGAACAGTACAAATTAAACAAGAACAAGGGTAATGGAGGCAAAATTGTATATGTAGCATTTATTTTTACTTACCGTTTACTCACAGCATGATTGTCTTTTAATTTTACAGTATCTTCGTTCTGCTTCGCTGGATTTGAAGAGGACGCGTAATGTGGATTGATATTTTGAGCCATTGTAAGATGCGAAATCTAAATTAAGTGTATGACAACAGTTTTCTGTTGTGAAGACGATTTCCTGTTAATTTTAAAAAGCTCCAATTTTATTGGTTATTGAACTTATTTGACAGCACAGCGTAATGGCGGTCGGGGTCATAGACACGGCTGTTAAGAAAAGAATAGGCCATAGATAGTTACTCTCTGGTCATAGAATAAACATCGCAATTCATCACGGTTACGGTATAGAATGACATACATAATTCGTATGACAAATCGAAAATTACGCTGACATGATATTTATTTTTACACATTTCTACAAATATAAAATTTTTGAGATATTGTGACCTTATTTAACCATATGTCACAGAAAAACAACCGTAACTAAATTATGTGAATCTTGGATTACTAACACTCTTACTAAATGAACTATGACGAACCGCTGTATACATATTTTTGCAATCTGGATTGTTTTATTGAAATTTTAACACGTAATTAATTAATGCGTAAAGGTTAGACAACTACTTTTCTAAAATAATATTTCTATAGTTCTGATTCAGGGTAACTAAAGCGTGGGGCGACAATTAGTTATGTCATAATTATTGTATTATTGCGCATTACAAAATGTAAAAACGTAGCGAGAGACAACTTTCACTTTCTTTGGTGAATTTTGTGTTCATTAGAGCGTGAAATTGGAAACTAGCGAGACGCTACCACGGAAAAGGAAAGATTTGACAGTCTATTTAAGGTCTACCTATCTGTAATTACGGTTAGTATTGATTAAGATTTCAAGTGAACATTGAGGGACTATTTTCCATTTATTATGACTTTAAAGGTATGTGAGTAACTTTATTTTTAGTTTTGTACTTACTTTCTTTTTTTTACTTTCACATTTATGGTCGCGTGTTTATTTTTTTTTACGGATCGTATACGTTACTCACGCTGTCACTTCCTCTGTCATTCTAAAAGTCAAAAATTCACTTATTGACATAGATTGATATGTTGTTTCATTTCATTACTCTCTAAATTTGTTTTTTATTTCCAAATCGTAATTAATAATTTAATTGCTTAAACTGTTTTCATCGTAATTTCAAACAACATACAATATTCTCAATATGTCGGCTTTAGTTTACTTTGAAAACAATTTGGTGCCGAACATAGAATGCACAGATGTGGCGTCATTGAAATTTGAGATTTCACAACAGTATGGTGTTTCTCAGCAAGACTTGTTCGTCACAGTCAATGGCAAAACTGTTTCCTGCGACTTAGACCTTCGCAGCCTCAATAATGTGGTTAGAGTGTGTACAAAACTCGTTGGAGGGAAGGGCGGCTTCGGATCTATGTTGCGAGCTATTGGCGCGCAAATTGAGAAAACAACGAATCGCGAAGCTTGTAGGGATCTGTCTGGGCGTCGCCTGAGGGATATAAACGAAGAGAAACGGCTGAGGAAGTGGCTGGAAGGCCAGGAAGACCGCGAACGCGAGGCAGTCGAGCGTAAACAGAAGAAATTGGAGCGATTGATGGCTGAGCCTAAAATTGATGTGAATTTGAGTCCGATGTATGAGAAAGAGCGGCAGGATCTACCGGGGCGGGTGAGTGCAGCCGTGGACGCTGGCTGGCAGGCTGCTGGGACCTCAAGTGAAGGTGGAACCAAGAGGAAGGTGGAGGAAGATAAATCTAAAGGCAGGAAGAAGGCGAAGTTGTGGATTGATGCAGAATTATCAGACTGTTCATCGTTGAGTGACGATGAGGAAGATGCACCTACCTGCAGGGCCCAAGCTGTCTCAACGGACAGTGGAAATGAATCTGACCGTATTTCAGACTCCAGTAGTAAACCATGAATTTATATATTGTTTGGAATGGACGGAGTTACTTTAAGAAAGTATCACATTAATATAGTTTGTTAGATTTTAACTTCAGTTGATTTTGAGATCTTTTATTATATTTAACTGCCTCTGTGGTTGAGTGGTTTAGTATTTAGCTACACTGCTTTACTTCCAATGGTTGCAGGTTTGATTTCTAGCATGGCATATACAAATACAGTCAACCCTCCTATAACGCGGTGAGTGCGTACCGCGTTGTATGGAAACCGCACTATAAGAAACTCGGATTTAACCATACAAACCAGGCTAATTCGTAGCGCGTTCTATGGAAACCGTCTACCGCGTTGTATGGAAACCGCGTTATAAGAGACTCAGAATAAGTACAAATCACATCATTCGTACCGCGTTATATGGAGACCAATAAATACAAAAGACAAGATAAATTATAAATTATTTTTATTCAATTGAAGAGTATGAACTTTAAACTAAAAAACTGTTTTCCAACAAAAACAAAAGAAAGACTTTTGTAAAATCCAACACTGGTCAGATGCAGGTTTGATTTCACATTGGTTTTAAGCGGCTAAGACATAAGCAGAACGTAGTTTTTCTATAGTTCACGCAAAAGATCACATATATATCTTTCATGTTACAGTTTCGCACACACACGCATACAAATATTTGTATTCATGAGTATGATTATTTGTATCAGTCTGGATATTTTCTGTGTATTATGTATGTATTTACAAAAAAATATATCCATGTATTTATATCAATTATCTAGTACCCATAACACAAGCTCTGCTTGGCTCGGGTCCTACAGTGAGACTAGATGACACTGTGGGAGTTGTTCGGGATAATCCAGAATATGTATTATTATTATGAAGCAGAACTTAAATAAACTGAATTAATTTAGATTCTTATTCAGTTTATAATTTTTCAAGTACACTAAAACTAATAATTGGCTCCATATACGCTGTTCTTAAACTTCTATTTGTATTTGTATTAAAATCTCAGGAACTATATTGCAATGTATACTAAAAAAAAAAATAAATTAAGTTGATCATAATCATAGCTTTTAATAATAAAATTACAATGTACTTAGTTATAAGAAATATTTGTATAATTTTTAATAATAAAATTAGTTTTAAGTAAATGATGTTTTTTATTTTATACTAGCTAGTCGCCCCGGCTTTGCACGGGTGTACATGTATTATACATATAAACCTTCCTCTTGAATCACTCTATCTATTAAAAAAAGCTTCAAAATCCGTTTTAAAGATTTAAGCATATATAGGGACAGACAGACAGCGACAGCAACTGTTTTATACTATGTAACAATTTTCAGTGTTGTCTTTATAAACTCTATAGAACAAAGCATTTATGTTATTTTAGCATTTATTTCACTACTATTAGCATGTGTTAGACCAGAACGGCGTCTGTGGTCTAGTTTAGCACATCGCCTTACTTCCGATCGTCGCGGGTTCGATTCCTCGCACGGCACAAACATTTCTTCATCATGAGTATGATTGTATCGGTCTGGGTGTTTTCTATGTATAATATGTATGTATTTACGAAAAAATATATATGTATTTGTATGAGTAAGTAGTAAATATCTCTTATCCAGTAGTTCTAGTACCTAACACAAGTTTTATCTAGCTTAACTTGGGTCTAGATGGCGCTGTGTGAATTGTCTTGATATTATTATTATTACTAGCTACTCGCCCCGGCTTCGCTCGGGTGTACATGTATTATATATATATAAACCTTCCTCTTGAATCACTATCTATTAAAAAAATCCATTGCGTAGTTTTAAAGATTTAAGCATACATAGAGACGGACAGACAGGTTGAGAGTCTGTGTTGTAAAATGGCGGGAACCGTCAAATTAAATGTGTCAATTAGTTTTTTTTAATTCAGAGAAACAATTATATATATTAATGTGATATCTGTGGTTCTTCAAAGATATCACGTTGTCGTTGGACGCTAATTGTCATTGCGTCGAAGAATAGACCATATGAAGACATGGCTGTATGGGCGCAGTACCCTTTGCCTTTCCGATAATGGATAAACAGAACAAAAAAAAAGTTGAGACCATAAGATGCCATACCATCGTACCCTCGTAATTTCATTCTTAGATTACTTGATACTTGAATATTACTGCTTGTTTACACTATACCTCATTGTTTACAGAAATACAGTTGGAGTGTAATGATGTTGCTGTCACTGTTATTGCTGGTGGCAGCCAGGCCTCAGGAGTTTGACGACGAGGAGGATGACAATCAAGCCAGAGAGCGAAAAGGTATTTTTTTTTCTGTTGAGTGACAGTAACGCGTAGGAATTGAGAGAAGTGTTATATATGGTTGGTTTGGAGTGCCATCTACACTCGCCCACTATCGTCTGGTGAAGCTGGAAAGGCCAGCTGTGGCCAACAGCAATAGAGTTGTCTGAAAAAGAAAATTTGTGTTTTTTTTATATATAAATGTGGATAAAAGGGCAGTGGAAAGCAGAATAAGAGATGGATGGACTGTGAGAGAGATGATATGGTAAGAAAGTGAGTAAATAACGAGATGACTGCGAACAGAGATGAATGGAAGAGAAAAATATATTACGCCGACCCCAAATAAATGGGATAAGGAAGAAGCAGATGATGGTGGGTGAATATGACGGCTGACACTGGCTGGGCACCAGGTGGATGATAAGATAAACATAAGGTCAGGTTTAGTACTATTTTGGCGAATTTTCTAGAAGTTAACCATAATTGTTTCCTAGAGGAACTGCTTGGAGGTGGATTTGACAGTGTAAGCAGTGGTCAGCGACGTGTTTTTTTCAACAATCATACACAGCGCCATCTAGTTCCAAGCTAAGCAGAGTTTGTGTTATGGTTACTAGACATCTGATATAAATAATTAGATTTTTTTTCCATATGTATACCTAACATACATTGAAGATATCCAGACCGATACAAACAATCATAATCATGAATTCCAATTTCAATTCAAAATATCTTTATTTATGTAGGTCTATTACAGACTCTTATGATATGTCAAATCTACCGTCAGTTCAGAATCAGAGTGAGAGGAACTGACAAGAAACCAGCTCGTATTCTTTTCAAATAAATGTTGAACATGTTTAAAAATAATACAGATTCATTTTTAAATTCAAATTCAAAAACCAGCAGCATATACGATTGCAAAAACAAATAGTCTAATCAGGGTTCGTAACCAAAACAGACAACTATCACAAATATTTCTATCGTTTCTGGAATCAAACCCGCGACCATCCGAATTAAGGCGCCGCGGCGGGCTGTACCGCTAGACCATAGTGGCCGTATATTTTTCTTTTTTAATTTTTATACATATCTTTTTATTAATGTTTATATGAATTTAACATAACATTTAATTTCAGATGATGTAGCGCGTGTCCAAATAAAGGTATACAGAGGACCTACCAAGAATGACGGTCACGCCCCGTGGGGTTTCTGGGTCAAGCAGCCGTCAGACGACGAGTGAATCAATGCAGAACATATATATTAGTGATAACATAGATAAGGTTCTATTAATAGATTTAATTATTGTTAGGGTTCACATGGATATTTTCAAAAAATCTGATATTTTATATTAAAAGAAGGTAGTTTCATTATTACTCGGTATCGTTAAACTAGTTGCATATAACCCCCACTCATATCTTCTTTGTATAAAAGGGAGGGTTTTTTGTAGACCGCGGCAACTCCCCTCCGATCGATCCCCCGTCCAATTCAAACGGGGATCGAAATTACGACGGCCTGAGCCGAGGTTCGAACCCCTAGTGGTGCCCTCAGACTAAAGTCGTACCCGTCAGGCAGGAGTTCGCCTTCAGCCGCTCCATAAGTCCTTCCTTTGGTTTGGAGTGCCATCTGCACTCGCCCCATAACGTCCGGTGAAGCTGTAAAGGCCAGCTGCGGCCAACAGCATTAGAGTAGTCCGAAAAAAAAAAGGCCGCGGCATTCGGTCATATTTTGTGTTTGCAGTCTTCTTTTATAGTGTTTAAATTTTATTATATTCTTGTATAATTTATCGTAAGATATTAGTGTATTTTATTTACGCAATAAGAACTTATCGGGTCTTATGGCGTTTATATACATAGATAATATTAGATTTAAAAACCAAAGACTATTTTTACTAGTTTTATTATTTTTTCAATTTATATCTATAGTTTTAGAAATATTAATGTTTCAATGTATATATATTGAAATTACTTTGTACATTTTATATGAATTAATAAATAAATAAAATAAAGTAAAGATGTATTTGCTTTTATATTCTGTGTGATATCCAGCAGGAGTTGGCCTTCAGCCGCTCCATAAGTCCTTCCTTTGGTTTGGAGCGCCATCTGTACTCCCTATCGTCCGGTGAAGCTGTAAAGCTTTCTTTGAGGGCAAAGAAGAGTGTTAATAATATGGACTAATGGTTATATTGCTAGCAATATACCATGTCAGGTTGACCTCCACGCGGTTCCCCCTGGAAACCATCGTGATAAATTCCTTGTGAATTTGTCAAGAGGGGCTAACTGTCCTGACCTCATGTTCATCTTATCATCCTCCACTAGTGCCCCGAAGTACCCCTCTCCAGTAGTGGGAGAACTGCGTGATACACTGCGTCAATCATGTGAGATTGACGTCCACGCGGCACCCCCTGGAAACCATCATGATAAATTCCTGGTAAATTTGTCACGATGTGCTAACTGACCTGACCTCATATACGTCTTATTATGTTAGCGCAGGCGGGTCCACCATTCCATTATCTATACATAGAAATAAAATTGGAGTGTCTGTTTGTAATATTGAAATAACAGTTTTTACTACATGCATATCTACAGCGCCTAATATATTTTAATAGTACCAAGAAAATGCAATGAGTAGTCGCATTGCATACATACTTGTTTTTTGTATACCTGCATCATTATTACTTTTTTATTTTATTTATTTAATTAACACAATATAAACAAACAGCCTCGGTGGTCTAGTGGTTTAGCACATCGCTTTATCCGATGGTCGTGGGTTCGATTCCTCGCACGGTACAAACATTTGTATTCATGAGTATGATTGTTTGTATCGGTCTGGTGGTTTCTATGTGTAATATGTATTTATTTACAAAAAAATGTATCCATGTATTTATATCAGTTGTCTAGTACCCATAACACAAGCTCTGCTTAGCTTGGGATTAGATGGCGTTGTGTGAATTGTCCCGAGATATTATTATTATTATTATACAGACATACAGACACTTATATAGACATTTGTCAGATATCGAGTTCACTTTTTGTACTAACCTAATTTGTAAACGTTGTTGAAATTAAAATACTTAAATATATACAGACATAAAAATTTGGGTTTCATTAGAAGCTCCATTATGTTATACAAGACAGGTACATACACCAAAATAACATTTTTTACAATATTTGTCTGTCTGTCTGTCGGTCTGTTTGTTCCGAATAATCTCTGAACTGTCTAGACCGATTTTGACGGTACCTTTTTTGGCAGGTAGCTGATGTAATAAGGAGTAACTTAGGCTACTTTTATGTTAGAAAAATAAAGTTAAATTTCACGAGGACGAAGTCACAGGAACACCTAGTCATCAATAAAAAAAATAACTTATAGGTGTAATCATGGGGGTCATATCTAGAAGGAGGGGGGGGGGGGGGCAGAAGAGGGCCGCTACCCCTCCCTGGACCAGATACGCCCATGTTAATTCATATTTCTAATCTTTAGATAAATCACTAAACAAACAATGAGTTTCAAATACACTGGCAACAAGGCAGTATTTTCATATCAGTTGAAAATGGCCATGAAATATGTACAGTAAACTTACATTTTACTTATATTATCCGTACTGGAGTTGTTTAAATTAAATTTTCAGCGAGTACGTAGCATTGTATTCACGATGTGTCGTCCGCCATCAAAACGGTGAGGCCATGAAATCTGAGTTATAATACACACAGCGCCATCTAGTCCCTAGCTAAGCAGAGCTTGTGTTATGGGTACTAGACAACTGATATATTCACAGATTTTTTTGTAAATACATACGTAATTTTTGTAAATCTAAATATATATAACTCAAAGGTGACTGACGTAGTGATCTATCAACGCACAGCCCAAACCACTGGACGGATCGGACTGAAATTTGGCATGCAGGTAGATGTTATGACATAGGCATCCGCTAAGAATGGATTTTGATTAATTCTACCCCCAAGGGGATAAAAGTTTTGATTGATATTAAAGGATATTAGTTTGTGTTTAGTACTAATGAAGTACCCAATGTAAAGATTATTACAAAAAATGTAAATAGCGCCATCTAGTATTTACAGACCGAACTAAGTTATTTGTTAGAAGATAACCGTTACCCCCGCTTCTCTGTCTACTGCACTGACTTCGACCTATAAATGCGGAGGTCGGTAGTTGAATAATCTTCTTTCGTTGGGTGAGCTGCGGCATTCAGTCGACGAGCGCAGAGCGTGCCGGTTGTGTTTTGGATATTAAAGTGAATTGTATTAGAAATGGGTTTATTCCGGTCCGAGTGTTTTTGCATTCTAAAAGGGCCTTTTAAACCTACACCCGTGTTACAAGTCTCGGGCGCTACTTGGGGTTTCTCTTGCGGTAGCTGGCTTCAAACCTAAGTCGTCTTTATAATTAGTACTTCTTCCATTTGTCATCTTTAAAACATTAGGAAATAAAGGCTTTTTGGGCTACAGCCCAGGCCCCCGAGGATACAAAAGGCCCCCAGCTGCCACTGAAACGATATTTAGAATAAAAAAAAATATCTAGAATGTTAAAAAACCTACCATAAAGTTGGCAAATGAAATCAATCTACTCATGGAAGTGCTCATCTATCGAAAGGAACGGGGAATTTCTGGTCGCTTGTTTTTGGTCGGTGTATTTTTTTAGTTGAGTAATATAATTAGGTAGGCCACTAAGTAGATTTAACCCAGGGCCCCACAAATTCAGGATCCGCCCCTGAGTACTGTCCAAACGAGAAAAACAAATAGACTTTCGTTTTCTGGCCTTTCTAATGCTAGTCGGCTGGGGGGAAGGGGGATTGTTAGTAATGTAGATTGATTATCTTATTGCTAGCAATGTACCATGTCAGGTTGACCTCCACGCGGTTCCCCCTGGAAACCATCGTGATAAATTCTTGCTGAATTTGTTACTATGGGCTAACTGACCTGACCTCATGCTCATCTTATCATCCTCCACTGGTGCCCCGCCAGCGTAAACCGTTAGCGCAGGCGGGTGCACCATTCCAGTATCATAAAAAAAAATGCTAGTCGGCCATGTAACCCTCTTGTTTTACGGCCATACATGTAAGTTTGTATTGACTCATACACACTTGTGTTAGAACGTCGGCTATTCTCTACACAAATGTATAACAGCTAAGCTGTTTACCAAACGCCTGGCAGTTTAGTTTCCGTATGCAGTTATGAGAAGGAAGAACAGAATATTTTGGTTATTTGGTGAGTATATTAAAATTAGTATCTTGCTGTACCCCCGACTTCGTCCTCTCGTCGTGTTATAATGACCTTGACCAAATATAGAAACAATATTTTATATACTAACCCAACAAATGCAAAGAAAATAAAATCCTCGTTACAGCTTCAATAATGACTATCCTCTATACAAAACTTCATCCCCTATTTTTTACCCCCTTAAGGATAACAATTTTACAAACTTAGTCATATTTATTTATATTTAATATAAATATTTATATGAGTATATAATATTATATAAGTTTCAAGATTATAGTTTAAAAAATGACGATACTTCCATAGAACCCATCATATCCCCTTTCAACCCCTTACAACTTAACCCTTTATTCGCATTAAAAAGTAGCCTATGTCCTTTCTCAGGGACTAGACCTACCTATCTGTGTACCGAATTTCATCTAAATCGGTGAATTTCATCTTCATCTAAGTAGTTTTGGCGTTAAAGAGAGACAAACAGACAGACAGAGTTATTTTCACATTTATAATATTAGTAAGGAAGTAAGTATTAATTATTATTAATATTATAAACGCGGAAGTTTGTGAGTATGGACGGATGTTTGTTACTCTTTCACGAAAAAACTACTGAAATTTTAATGAAAACTTTACAGTAAATTTTAGTAAATTTTAGACATTCCACAGAAATTTCTTGGCTAGCGGTTGTAATCTCACGTAATGGTTTTTAAAAAAAAAATTTTTTTTTTTCTCTATGTTACTCTTATTAATATTTTCTATTTTTCTTTTTGTTGATCCTTACCACTCAGTTAAAATTATATCAAATTATACTCTGAACTATTTACATTATTTTTATTATAAACACACCACACAGACAATCACTAATAATATTGCTCTTTTTATTTTATATTATTACTTTCACGTACTCTCAAATAGGTTGAAGCTGAAAATCAGTGTTTTGTTTCCTGAACAATGTTCCACGCTGAGCTTCGACCTTTTTGTATTGCTACAGATCACACATAACACAATTTTATAAATCTTATGTTGTATTATGTATTTTATATTCTTATGAACATAAACGAAATCACTAATAATTTGAATATTCTAATATATCATGCGACCATGTATGACGATTTCTGAAAATCAACTGTCTCTTTACTGTATATTTCACGTTATGTATGTGACTAGTAACAAACAAATAAACGATATATCTATCCATCTATCAGTAATTATAGCTTATGCATCAGAATAACATATAGACTATAATTTCACGCGGGTGAAATCGTGGGCACAGCTAGTCTTATTAATATTGGAAACGCGACAGTCTATGAGTATTGATGGATGGATGGATTTTGTTACTCTTTCCCGCAAAAACTATTGAACAGATTTTAATGGAACTTTACAGTAATATAGCTTATACATCAGAATAATACAGACTTTAATTTAAAAAAATATTATGTAAATTGGGCCAAATATAATGATGAACGTAAAGTGTCATAATAATGTAATAATGTATAATAATAATAATCTCAGGACAATTTTCACAGCGCCATCTATATTATATATAGAAAACACCCAGGCCGATACAAACAATCATACCATGAATACAAATGTTTGTGCCGTGCGAGGAATCGAACCCGCGGCCATCGAAGGAAGGCGGTGTGTTAAACCGCATGAAGTAAGTGTGATTATATAAATTTAGGCGAAACCACGTGTACAGCTAGTGAATCATTATTATCACTACATAGTATATAACAAAGTCGCGTCGCTGTCTGTCCGTCTCTATGTATGCTTAAATCTTTAAAACTACGCACCGGATTTTGAAGGGTATTTTTTTAATAGATAGAGTAATTCAAGAAGAAGGTTTATATATATAATACATGTACACCCGGGCGGAGCCGGGGCGAGTAGCTAGTAATCTATAAAACAATATTTATTCCAGGTCGTCGGAAAAGGTGTACCATCCCTCTGATCGTACTGATAGCTTCCATACTGGGGATGTCCTGGTGGATAGCAGAGTTTAGCAGTAAAGTATTGTTACCTCCACCGCCCCCTGATCAAAATCTGGACCACTTAAGGAGGAATAGAAGCTTAAAGTATTATATTAGTAAGATGTAAGTATATATTTTAATAGGGAATTTAAATCGTCAGACTCGTGAACGGGTGCTGGTTGTAGAGACTGATCTGCTCTAATAACTATGACTGATTTTTTCTGTCAACACCCAGATATTATAAACAATCATATTCAGGATTACAAATGTTTGTGCATGCGAGGAATCGAACCCGCGGTCATCGGAAAGTAATGCGACAAATATCATCCTCAGCCATATCGCTAATTAATAACGTAGAGGCATAACTTTTGTGTAGTTTTATAAATTCATATTGCTAGTTATTGGTTGACAATTTTTTTTTCATTCTTTATAATTTCTGTATAAATAATGTAACATTATTAATACTTATACCTAAATATTTATTAACGTTACAGCAAAAATAAAAAATATACTATTTAAAATGGCCATCTTTGACCTTTTATACAGGCCTTTAATATGTTTGACCACGAATCTATGGATTTACGCACTGTTTCCAAGAGAAATTTCGCCACTGTTTGCTCCAAAGATATTTTATGAGACTCAATGTCGCCGTGTCGCTGAGATCAGGCCATGTCCTCTAAAAGTGACCATAATTTGAGGTCTAAAGGGTTGAGGCCTGGGCTAGATGAGGGCCAGTCTTCAGCTCATTTAAAGTCCGGAACGTTGGTTTCAAGCCAGACTTGGGTTGTTCATGCCTTCTGAGGTGCAGAGTCCAGCTGGAAAATCCACGGTATATTTTTAAAAAGTGTATTACTGATTTCCCAGCATAATCCAAGAATGTGTCTTGATATGCGGCTGAAGTGTTTATTCGTCTTATTGGCTGGAAGAGATCTCTTTTGGAGATAAGCCCACACTTGTTCTCGGGTTTGTGTAATTATCTTTATTTATTAATGTTACAAGTGCAATATTGTATATTAAACTAATTGATGTTTCCAGCCAACTACTAATAGAGCCTTCATCATCACCTTGTGATGGCGTTGAGGAGGTACCGATCATCGTCCTGGTCACGAGCCCGCCGACTCGCTTCGAACAGAGAAGTGCCATCAGGAGCACCTGGGCTAAACACCAACCTACATACTTCGTTTTGGGCCTCGATGGACCGAGTGTTGATGAGCAGTTAGTAAGTTATGAGTATATAGAGTAGAGAATAGAGTAGAGTAGAGTGGAGTGAAGTGGAGTGCAATGGAGTGGAGTGGAGTAGAGTGGAGTGGATTTGAAGATTCTTTATTAAAGTAAACTTACATTTAAGCATTTTTCCGTATGGTAACTAATATTGTGACATGAGAATTTTATAAGACTAGCTGACCCCGAATTAAAATCGTTATTAAAAAATAGGGGTTGGTGATAGAAGGGTAAAAAAAATGAAAACCAAAATACATTACGGGTGGATAGCCCTTATCACTTAGAGGTATGAAAAATAGATAGTAGCCGATTCTGAATATGCGTATAAAAATTCGTAAAAATCGGTCAAACCGTTTCGGAGGAGTATAGTAACTAACATTGTGACACGAGAATTTTATATATCAGATTTATTATTAGTATATAATAAATAAATTACAGGTAGATAATTATGTGGAAGCCAAACAGCACGGGGATCTGGTGATTTTCGACTTCCAAGAGCACTACCAGAATCTGACACTGAAGACTGCTCTCATGCTGCAGTGGACTTTAGATCGCTGCCCACAGGCCGAGTTCCTGTTTAAGACTGATGATGATGTTTTCGTCAACCCTTGGACGTTAAAGAAGGTGGTTAGAGATAATAAGGATGCCCAGTTGCTTGGTGAGTTTTTTTTTAATTTATCGCTACATATGACAGTATTTTTTTCATGTATGTGCTCGGAATGACAAATGTACTAACGGCCCATCCTATGGTAAACGGCATAAATAGCGGATCAATTTGCTCCGTCTAATATGGTTAAGTGCAATGTTGGCTGGCTCATCCGTCATATTCGTGCACGGGTGCTGCTTGTAGGACTGGTCTGTTCGGGTTATGAACACTGATTAGACCATTTGCTTTTGCAATATTATGTTGTTGGTCACTCTATTCTCTCAGATTTGAATTTAAAAATGAATCTGTATTATTGTAAACACCATAGAAAATAGACGAGGAAAAATGTTAGGGCACTTGATACGGCACGATGATTTCATGAAAATTATTATTGAGGGGAAAATAGAAGGAAAGAGGGGGAGGGGAAGACCAAGGAATAGCTACATCAAACAAACTGAGGACAAAATGGGAGTCGTGTCGTATCAAGAATTAAAGAGCATGATGGAAGATCGCGGAAAGTGGCAAGAGCTCCACCGACAAGAGCGAGCTCTTAAATTATGAATGAATGAATTATTGTAAACATGTATAACATTTATTTGAAAAGAATACGAGCTGAGTTTCTTGTCAGTTCTTCTCATCTCGAAATCATTCCGAACTGACGGTAGATTTGACATATCATAAGTCTGTAATAGACCTACATAAATAAAGATATTTTGAATTTGAATTTTGACTAGCACTACAGTCATCACGTTATCATGTGATAGCCGTGATACTTGCTATTCCAGTGGACTAAAATGTCATGCAACTTATCCTCTAACACTACCTAAAGTTGCCGATTCCACCGCCGCAGTGGTCTAGCTGTTTAACACAATATTTTATCGTAAATACTAGCTGTGCTCGCGGTTTTACCCGCGTATAATTTATAGCCTATATGTTATGTTAAGCTATCTAGTACATATAACACAAGCTCTGCTTACCGTGGGACTAGATAGCGCCATCTAGTCCGCAGGTAAGCAGAGCTTGTGTTATAAGTACTAGATAGTTTAGCGTTATTTCTTTTTTTTATATATTCTATGTTGTTTCAGGGTATAGTATAAATGACACATATTTACATCGTGATGCGTACAGTAAATGGTACATACCACGATGGCTGTGTCCGGATGACTTTGTCTCTGGATATCTCTCTGGAACTGGTTATTTTATAAGCGGTATGTATTTGCAAACCAATTTTCTTATTAATTGTTTAATTAGTTGTTGTATTGAATGTTTTTTCTATTTTATTATTTAATTGAATTAGTGCTAATCGGTAGTTTGTATTCACACATTTAAACTTAAATTGTAAGTAAGAATAAATTATTTAAAAGAGCAACACACAAGTTTCTTGCTTGTTCTTCTTGTGATGAGACAGCTTTCCGAATGAGCGGTAGATTAAAAAAAATAATGTGATGACTATTCAAAACTTCTTCAATGTAAGTTTATTTGAATAAATGATTTTTTATTCTTATTCTATTCTATTCTATTTGTTGTGACTTCTTCCTGTAACCCTATTCCAGATAGATTTATAAATAGATAAAATATTTATTCACCAATTATAATCACTGGATGAATGGCGGTCCTCCACCGTGCGATTTCTAGAAACTTTTTGCCGCGCACAACCACATTGTGGAATCACCTTCCAGCAATGGTATTTCCGAACCGATACGATATTGAAACCTTCAAGAAAAGAGCTTATTCCTTTTTAAAAGGCCGACAACGTAATGCAAATCCCTTGTATTGCGGGTGCTCATGGGCGGCGGTAATCACTTACCATCAGGTGAGCCGCATGCTCGTTTGTCCCCTGTGTTATAAAAAAAAAACACGCATAACGATCGTTTGTCCCCTATGTTATAAAACAACCTATAGCACGGTAGGGCGAACCTTTATGCATCAACGTGCCATTTTTTCCAAAAAATGTTTAATGGGGTCATTGACGTGCCATCAAATAATTTTGACTTTCTGATTATTTGGAGAATAATAATAATAAATACTATCAGAACTCTCTATGAAATAAACTAAACAACAGAGGTACTTTTGGATTGTTTTCATTACACGCTTAAATCAAATTACTGTAAAATTAGTGGGACTTCTGTTGCTGCAGGTTAGATGACAAATAATTTACGTCAGGCTTGTACGATGTTACTTTTAGCAAAATGCATGCTGAACTGGATTCATCTGTCACACGGTTTCTAACCGAGTTTTTAATGTTATCTCTGAAAATAATGACTCGCAGGCATAGGTAGGTGGAAATATTGTTAAAATAACATGAGCCAGCTTCTTCAAACAGTTTTATGATCGACGACGTTCCCAAAATATTGTGTCGCGTGCCGTCAAAGGCACACGTGCCATTGGTTATTATAACGTCTACCCTGACCTATAGTACAATAGGGGTATAGAATAGTACAATAGGAGTACAAATAAAAGAAATAGAGGTGGCTATATGTGCCGCAAAGGTGAATAAAAAACCAACTCAGTATAAAGCATAAATTTACAGCGCTGATATTCTGTTGATTCTTAATGTGTATAATTGTATATGTTTATTTATTTAATTAATAAAATATAAATTTATACCATGTTCGCTGTAGCATGGTATGGGTAACAGTTTCATTAACGTTTCGTTTCACTCTTAAAAACTGAATACAAATTTACGCGATTTACAAATTATGACTTAGTATTTCAGCTGTACCACATTCGTAATATATTATTATTTATATTATTAACCGGGTCTTAACATGAACTAATTTAACGAATGAACTTTCACGAACTTTCGTTGATCAATCTAGTGACGGTAGATGAAAAAACTGCTGTCACCTATCTACATTGGCATCGCTGTTACTCCAGTCAGCTCGTGACCACGGCTAGTGCAACCTAGTCGAAACGTACAGAGGTAAATACCTTTATTTACCATAAAATTATTCGTGTTAAGACCCGGTTAATAATTTAAATAATGTATATTCAACACGAAAGTTTAAAAATAACTATTGTGTTAATAGATATTTTTTTTTATATAAAACCTTTATTTGCCATAAAATTATTCGTGTTAAGACCCGGTTAATAATTTAAATAATGTATATTAAACACGAAAGTTTAAAAATAACTATTGTGTTAATAGATATTTTTTTTTATATAAATAATTGCCGAATAACAAGTAAGAGGCATGCGATAATCAACATAGAAATCGCTACGCACTCATTCTTAGTGCGATCAGATAATATTGCCAGCGCTATGGATTTTAAATTTATATTTATATTTATTAAACTTCGAGCTCGTTAATAAGTAAAAGTAGTTTGTAATTATATGTACAATGACCGAATGCTGAAAGAACTGAAATTTTTCAGTTGTTTTTCAATGTGTATGTTTGTTTCAGTGGAGTATATTAAGAAACTACTCACGGCAGCTACCTACGTACCTCTAGTCAATATAGAAGATATATACTTCACATATCTAGTGGCGAAGAGGTATCTACGCCTTACTTTGTCTCATGATAGAAGATTGAGTCCTAAAAAACCTTGGTTTTTATTTGGCTGTGTTTATTGGCATCTGGCCACAGCTCATAATATCAGTCCAGAAGAATTGGCCAGCATATGGCCAAAAATAGAAGATATTGCCAAAGAATCTTACACTCGCAAAGAGATTTGTAAATATTACGAATTTCTGTCAAGTGATTTGTTTTTGTATTGAATTCTGACCGTCACTTTACTTTTGAAAGTAGGTTCGATTCCTAGCAGGGTCAAATATTTGTATTAATGAGTATGATTGTTTGTATCGCTCTGGGTGTTTTCTATGTATATCATGTACTAGCTGTTCCCGTGACTTCGTCCGCATGGAACTTAACTTAATATTTCAAAATTAAAAATAGTCTAAGTTACTCCTTATTACATCAGCTACCTGCCAAAAAAAGTCCCGTTAAAATAGGTCTAGCCATTTCAGAGATCAGACAGACGGACAGACAAAAATTGTAAAAATTTTTATTTTGGTGTATGTATCGTATTTATATTCATATGCAAGTAGTATAAAAAGGTTATTTCAATATTACAAACAGACATTCCAATTTTATTTATACGTGTAAATGTATAGATTGTCCAGTTAGTACCCATAACACAAGCTCCTCTTAGCTTGGGACTAGATGGCGCTGTGTGAACTGTCCTGGGACATTATTATTAAATACAAATAGTCGTAGCTATGGATACGTCTGTCTGATTATTTCTTAGTACCTAATAGAGAAATTAAAATAATTTTCAACCTACTATAAGTACTTAAATAAAATATTAACTTTATACTCGTTTTTTATTAAACATTTTTTTTGTTCCTTTATATACTAATCTAAATATATATAACTCAAAGGTGACTTCAAAACGTAAGAAAAGCGTCACAGATTACAAAAAAAAAACAAACAAATGTCGTGAAGATAAATAACACATAAGACTATTAATAAAAAATAATAATAATAATAATGTCAGTGAAACAAATAAAATGAAAAAAAAAAAACAAACAAATGTCGTGTGACAATTGGGTATGGTGAATACGGTGTATGGGAAACGTTGGATTGTATAGAAAATATCAGTGGACAAATACGTGGGTATCGAAACTCGCAAGTTATTCGTTTCTCAATATAGTTCTCTACAACGGCCACTGTTTGGTATTTGACACCGTAATCTGTATCAACTATGTTAGGGGAGTTGCCCCTTAACTTCTCACGTTAACAGAGTAACTATGTATAGTGGTGTTCAAGTAAATAACGTAGAATAAGATAAACAAAATATATTTCTAATCAAGATAAAATAATATAAAAACACATTTAATACAATATAGAAGATAAGTTTGATAGAGATATTCAGTGGATTACATATATAGTAGTAAATTAGGTCCAACAGAAATTATTAGTATTTTAACAGATTTAATTTTGGATATGTTTTTTGCTAGTAGTTCTATTGTTTACTCTTCTGTATATTGTTTTATATTGTGTATGTTATTTAAATGTAGAGATGTAAAATGTCTTAAATGTAATGGATTAAGAGACCGTATTAGGCACATTGATTGAAGTAGAAAAAGTATAATCCATCACATTTAAAATAAGTATTGTTGCTAAGTAACAGTTTGTGTGTAACGTGCAACTGCAATCGGAACGAAATAAACTATTGATAGAGATATTCAGTGGATTACATATATAGTAGTAAATATAATTTATTTCGTTCCGATCGCAGTTGCACGTTACACACAAACTGTTACTTAGCAACAATACTTATTTTAAATGTGATGGATTATACTTTTTCTACTTCAATCAATGTGCCTAATAAAGTTATAGATACATCAATACGACGACAGACAAGATGACAAAACACACTCTCTTTTCAAATATTCAAACATACTTCATCTGCCATACCAGCCAGTTTAGACATCGATTGCAAACCTCGTTCTAACAAACTGTAGATATATCATATCATTACATAGTATAAAATAAGGTCACTGTCGCTGTCTGTCCGTCCCTATGTATGCAAAAATCTTTAAAACTACGCAATCGATTTTGAAGCGGTTTTTTTAATAGATAGAGTGATTCTAGAGGAATGTTCATATGTATAATAGATGTATACCCGGGCGAAACCGGGGCGAGTAGCTAGTTACATAGTATAAAATAAAGTCGCTGTCGCTGTCCGTCCCTATGTATGCTTAAATCTTTAAAACTACGCAACCGATTTTGAAGCGGTTTTTTTAATAGATAGAGTGATTCTAGAGGAAGGTTTATATGTATAATACATGTACACCCGGGCGAGTAGCTGGTTAATAATATAAACGCGAAAGTTTGTATGTATGAATGTGTGTTACACTTTCACGCAAAAACTAGTGATGAATTTTGATGAAACTTTACAGTAATATAGATTATACATCAGAATAATATATAGGCTATAAATTTGACACGGGTGAAACCGCGGGCCTGAAATAAACAAATAAATAAAATAATATTACATATGTATATATATAACTCAAAGGTGACTGACGTAGTGATCTATCAACGCACAGCCCAAACCACTGGACGGATCCGGCTGAAATTTGGCATGCAGGTAGATGTTATGACGTAGGCATCCGCTAAGATAGGATTTTGATTAATTCTAACCCTTAAACCGATCGGGCTGAAATTTTGCATGCATAAAGGTATTATGACGTAGGCATCCCCATAGAAAGGATTTTGATAAATTCCATCCCTAAGGGGATAAAATAGGGGATGAAAGTTTGTTATATTATCTTCTTAGATTTTAGACTGATTGAACTGAAATTAAAGATTGGAGCTACTATGATGAAGACGTTCACTTAAATAGGATTTTGATAAATTCAACCCCCATGGTTTTAAAATAAAGGATGATGCAGGATGTAAATGTATTAGTTTGAACCTATCAGTACCTAATGGAACGAATAAATTAAGACGAACAAAACAATTTTTAGTTCTTTAGGCTACTTTTATTTTAGAAAAATAAAGTTAAATTCCACGCGGACGAAGTCGCGGGTACAGCTAGTACTTCATATAGTATATATAATTAATATAAGGAAGGAAGGAATATAAAGAAATTGTCTAAAGTTTTACAACATTCAAAGTCTGTTCAAAATCTATCTGAAAAAAGTAAAAGATGAGTAAAGATTATTTCTATTTCATTTCTTGAACTCATTTTTGAGTAAGGTCCAAGATGCTGATGTCTAAAGCTAATATTATATTATCTGTGCCAAAGTTAACCCTTGCCTTCTTTAATAAATAAAATTACAATATACCCATTTTTAATATAATATTTTAGAGTTTGTTATAATATGTTAATATTTTGTATTAAATTTATTTTAGTAAAGAGCTGTGCTCGCGACTTCGTCCCCGTGGAATATAACATTATTTTTCTAAAACAAAAAGAATTTATCTAAAATAAAAGTATCCTATGGTACTCCTTATTACATCAGATACCTGTCAAAAAAAGTCCCGTCAAAATCGGACCAGCCATTTCAGAGATTAGTCGGAACAAACAGACAGACAGAAAAAAATGTTATTTTGGTGTATGTACCGTATTTATATTCATATGCATGTAGTAAAAAACGGTTATTTCAATATTACAAACTGACACTCCAATTTTATTTATATGTATAGATTATTTCTGTTTCTATTCCTATATGTCTTGAAACTTCATCTAAGTTTTCACTGTCTGTGTAATTACGAGTGGATTCTTGTACAACAGATGTTGCATGCAGGTGTGCGTTTGATAAGGTTTTATGATTATTGTTCCTCATTATTTCAACTCGTTGACATTTTTTTACTACATTCAGATTGTACAGGGCTGGAGTGAGTTAAATATTTAAGAGTTTTATTGACAACCTCGGTGGTCTAGCGGTCTAGCACACCGCTTTACGTCCGATGGTCGCGGGTCGATTCCTCGCACGGCACAAACATTTGTATTCATGAGTACGATTGTTTGTATCGGTCTGAGTATTTTCTATGTATAATATGTATGTATTTACGAAAAAAAACTATGTATTTGTATCAGTCATCTAGTACCCATAACACAAGCTTTAGCTAGCTTAACTTTGGACTAGATGGCGCTGTGTGAATTGTCCTGAGATTATTGATATAATAAAATCGAAACAATACCATTTATTCTAAAGGCTCTTTGTAAAAGGGACTAGTGGGCATATCTGTGTGAAAATCTGTTCTATTTTTTTGAGAATAAAATCTACTATTTAAACTATCTTAAGGCTGGATATGAGTTACCTAGCTAATGAACTTCAACTATTATGTACCCTCCTTTTTAATTTTGTAATCTTGTGATTGTACAAATAAAGCATTATTTTTTTTATTCACAGTTTTTGCTGGTTTTCTCCACACTTACGGGCCGAAACCAAGTAAGTGCAGAGTGTGTGTATGTGTGTGTGCGCGTGTGTGTATTTGTGAGTGTGTGTGTACTTATTGTGTGCTTGGTGTGACTGGTGTCCTATCCTGTCCTATATCCTTTTCATCTATTTCGAGAAATTTTCGGACTGTACGACAGGTATTTAAGATGGCAGCCTTTTGAAGGGTGATGTAAAGTGTTTTTTGTATATCTAATTGTTTCAGGCTATGATGTAGGTGTTTGGGTATGATACCTGTAGATGAGAGGACTATGGGTATTATATAAACTTTTCCTGTTTCCAAATTCTTGTTACTTCTTCCTTTAGCTCTGCATATTTGTTTATTTTTTCAGCAATTGTCTTCTGGAGATTGTGGGTATTAGGAACTGCAATATCTATCAGGTAGGTTTTTTTATTTACTTTGTCTTGTAGTATTATGTCTGGTCTGTTGTAATGAATAGTCTTATCAGTAAGTATAGCACGATCGTAATATAGTTTATGAGATGTATTTTCTAACAGGCTACACGCACGTGACACCCCTGTTTCAGGCGTATTAGTATCTAATACGTATCCATCTGATGCTAAACTGTTACCGAAGCCATTATTACTATTATCATTACATAACACAAAACAAAGTCGCTGTCTGCCCGTCCCTATGTATGCTTAAATCTTTAAAACTACGCAACGGATTTTGAAGCGGTTTTTTTAATAGATAGATTTAAGGGGAAGGTATAGTATTATATATGTACACCCGGGGCGAGTAGCTAGTTGTATAATAAGAAAAATAATCTTAATTCATATTTGAGCCCTAAGTCCGGCTCCAAATAAGAAAAAACGAAGTATCCAAGAGTCAAGCGAAGCGAAACTATAAAAATCTTTCATTATTCGTCGAATGTTTGTAAATTCGACGACGTATCAACAACATGCGAGTGAAATTAGTGCTTATTGCCTTCGCTGTTTTAATCATTGCCTTCGTCAATGCGGGTAAGATAATTTTCATACCAACTATTAGAGCAGAACAAATAAAACCTTTTTAAATAGATGTTTATAGCATTCCTATAGTATCTACATTTAAAGAAATTGATAGAAAATCGTGGAAAATGGCAAGAACAGGTGAAGGTCTACTGACAAGAGCGCTAATCTTAAATTATGAATGAATAGCATGGTGCACTCACCACTGCTAATGGTATATGCTGGCGGGGCACCAGTGGAGGATGATAGGATGAGTATGAAGTAAAACCAGTTAGTAGTTTTTTATGAGCAGATAATTCTTCAAGAATTAATAATGGTGGTTTCCAGAATAGATTGAGTAGAGGTAGTCCTGACGAGATAGCTAGCAATGGGGAATGTAGTCCACGTTACTAAAAGTTTCTTTATGTACAATAAGGAAAAATCACTGGATCTTACAAAGTTTAATTTATTTTTATTGAGTTAACGATATTTTGGTAAAATTTCAAACGCCAATGATCCATCATTTCTGTTACTAGAATTCTATTTCAATCATGTACTACCAAAAGAAGAAGATTTAAAAGAATTAGATCTAAAGTGTATTCCTGGTCGTACAACAATTAAAATTGGAGAGCAATTAGACCTCAAACCAGATTCAGATGAATACGAAGATACAGACACAAGACGATCACACATGAATGGTGAAACAAAAGATGAACACTGCAAGATATGTGTATGCTCAATTGAAGGAAAAGATCAGTATTGTAGTATTAGGCCAGCTAAGAATGTAAATGAGTGCATTACAATGGCCAAATACACTGATGATTTTAATAAGAATATTCCATTTGATATCAGTAGAAACTTGGCGTATAGGATTAGGAGAGGTTAGTGTGGGATTGGTAGTGATGAACAGTGTAACTGATGGTATCATAGTATGATGATAATTTAATGATAATATTAGTTAATTAGATTTTAATAAATTGCAACAAAAGTTATAGACTAATAATAAGCTATGAATTATTTTTGCAATTATATCTGTACATATTTGTTGATCAATTGATATAATGCAGTATATAAATAGGATAAAAAAGGCGCGTCTCCAATTTTAAAAATTTAATTCTTTCATTTTAAACTCAAACAAATTCATGAGCACAGCAAATAAGTAATATCAGTTATGATTATGCGGTTGATATATCTAGTGTTGAAGTAGGTGGGTAGGTAAAAGTGTCTTGATAAAGTTTTCTCGTTGAAAGGTGAAATGATTCTGATGTTTTTATTAATATAAACGACTATGCATTATATATGACTGATAACGATTTTGAATAAATGTAGATTATGTAATAAATATTCACATATATTGTAAATTTACTAATAATTCAGATTACATCTGGCACAACGATGAAATACCATACGAACGAAACGCAAAATGTAAGCGAGGATTCTCATACTATAGCAACAGTGCTACTGCCAATGACACAGATGTCGACGTAGCCTCCGATGTAGAGTCTTTGTTAGACTACGATAATAGTGGTATCTGTTACTATTGTATTTGTGCTGTTCATGGTAGAGGAGTTGGATGCATTAGCAGAGATCCATGGTTTTGCGAATACTATAGAACTCTTAGACAACGAGATGCTCCTAGAGACAGATATAGAGTTTTATTCAAACAAGACAGGCCAGCGTACTTCAGACAATTGTCGTATAGAATAAGAAGGACTATGGACGATGCAGTATACGCTTTAGCTGATACCGGTATGGTGTATCACAGGGTTGTTATATTGGGCCATTCCTTTTTCTTCTCTTTTGGATTGATTATATATGTGTTGTTCGTTGGAATTTTTGGTAGTATTTCTTAAGTTGCTATTTTCACATATGTATGTATATAACTGAAATATTAGTGTCTGTTTTAAAACAGCAAATCGCCTTTTGCAACCAATCTTGTCAGTTAATAGTAATTAAAATAAGTTATATATTAGTATGAACTCTTGTATAAGTTAAGACATCCAGAATGTAATGTAATGAATTGTAAAATAAAGATTGGTAATTGCAGGAGGCGATTCGCTGTGCTGTGAACATCATGATGGGCATCGGAGAAATCTCCACAGAGAAGTCAGGAACAAGATAAGGCAAATGAAGAGAAGGGTGCCCAAAGAGAACCTTATGTCTGGCGGACCACGTGGCGATTATATTGACTTTATTGTTAATAATGATAAATAAAAAAATGAACATTTACAAAATACAAATCGTTGTACTGTTTCTACGTGTGAATGGGCAACATATGGCTTCTAAATTGAAGAAATTAAAACTACGAATTCCGGGCAAAAATAACAATAGTTAAATTTGAATAACGAAGAACTGAGAATAGTGACTGTAATTTAAGATTGATAGTTAAAGCAATAGAATTTTGTTTAAATAATTTTGAATTTGTGACAATAAGTTTTAAGTGTGATAGTGTATTTTTCTATTTTTACATATTTTTATACGTACAGATGTGATGTGAATAAATTGATACTGAATTATTTATTTCTATAACTTGATTATTTTATATAACACCCGCAATATCTGAAACTGCACAATAATCAGCTTGTCCACTATTTGCAGTGTTGCACGATTTGATCACGAATTTATTTTAGCACGATTGCATCAGTTGCACTGTTCATCACACTTTACAATCTTATTTTTTAAACTATTTTAGATTTAAGTTTACATATTCCTATACTTCTATATAGTATTAGGTTGAAAGTGATTATAGCAATAAAGTTTTTATAATATCGTCAAAAATTAGATTTTTGACAAAATCATCAATTATATTATTAATAGCCGTGATTTCACCCACAAGATATTTATAGCCTATGTATATATGTTATTTTTCTTGCCTTAGCCTTTTTTCTGCGTGAAAGAATAACAAACAACCACCTATCAATTTATACTCACAAACTTTAGCGTTTATAATATTAGTAAGATTTTGACAAATTCTTAGTTCTTCAAAAAGATATATAAGATCACAAGAAATACACTTTTTTTAGTAACAATTAGTAAAACAACACAAAAGAAAATTACTGAATCAATCTATGTAAGTAAGTTATTTAAAATATGTTGCTGTCTTGATTTTCTGCATTTGAAAGGTAAGTTTTAAATAACTCTATAATATTACCATTATGAAAAGAAGTTTTGGTACAAATCTATCACAAAGATTCTATATCTATAGCATTCCGCAAAATCAAATCGATTGAAACAACATATGTTGACTACAAGGATGATTATAGGCACAGATAACGTAATATTTTACAAGTCTGTAGTTTTTGTTCTACAACAAATGGTATAAGAGCTGAAAACCTGGCAAGTATGTTAACGTAAGTAATAATGTCTAATAATAAATAAAATATTCGGTGACAAATAAATGAAAAAGTAGAAACCAGTGAGTGTAAAGTAGAAACATATAGATATATAAATATAAAATCATACAATAACGTCTTACGCACATTAGAAAACACATTAAAAACGAATAATTTATCTTGCAGTGGGCACGGATTCTTCTACATGCATACCATTTGTATCGGAGTATACGGACTGTACGGACGGTAAGATATCAGATTTGACAAGAATTTTACTAGATTTTTGCTAATGTTTATATTAAATAATAATAACAATATTCCTGGGCATTTCACACAGCGCCAGCTAATCTCAAGCTAAGAAGAGCTTGTGTTAGAGGCAATTGACAGCTCATATAAATACATAGTTACATTTTTCAAAACATACATAATTAAGTGGAGGAGATCTTAGAGAACTTTGCACTCTTTGTAACGATACTCCTCCGAAACGGCTTGACGGATCAAGACCAAAATTTCATCGAAGGTCTTTGGGCCTATTTTGTTTACCACTCAAAAAATTCCAAATGGTCAAGATCAAGTTTTTTAGAATAAATGGAGCGCTCAACATGTGACCTGGTATAAACAACACACCGGTAACAAGCCTAGTATACATAGAGAACACCCAGACTGATATAAACAATTGTTCTCATGAATATAAATGTTTATAACGTGCGAAGAGTCGAATCCACGACCATTGGTGGCGGTGTGCTAAACCACTAGACTACCGCCATATTTAAGTTAAATCGCTCCATTTACCTTAATTGAGAATCTTAAAATTATAAGTAAATTTCTTTGACCAGAGAACAGATGCTCTGGCTGCCAAAGATGTGCATGTACTGAAGAAGCCACGTGGGTCTGCCACCCCGTAGTGGAGTGTGAGGAAACGGAAGACACCGGAATCTTTATAGACGATAATCAGTTTGAAGATGTCCTGACTAAGCTTAAACAAGGTATAGTTTACTAGCTGTGCCCGCGACTTCATCCGGGGGAATAGACGACGAAAATAAAACATAAATTTTAAGTTTTTAGTTTTAAAAATGTCGATAATTCCATCTCCTCTTTCAATCCCCTTAAATCCATTTTTCTCGTCAAAGAAGTAGCCTATATCCTTTCTTAGGGTCTAGAAAATCTGTGTAACAAATTTAATTTAAATCAAAGTTTTTCAGAAGTTTTGGCGTAAAAGCGCGACAGACAGATAAAGAGACAGGAAGAGTTACTTACCCATTTATAATATTGTTAAGGATGTGTGTCTGTTTAGAACATTTAAATATCGTATATATAGTTGAGTGCAATGATGGCTGGCGTCTGTACTCTATAGGTGTTGCTTGTGGGGACTAGCCTGTTCGGATTACGGCCTTTTATTAAACTACTTACTTATGACAAAATAGCATTTAATATGCTAGTGGTTACTCCATTCTCCCTAATTGAATTTAAAAATGAATTTGTGTTTTGTAATCATGTACAAGCTCATTTGAAGATAATAAGAGGAGAGTTCCTTGACACTTCTTCTTAGCTCGAAAGTACGCCGAGACTCTACTATTATCTATTTGCCTTATGGTCGACTGGGAGAAATTGCCTTATGGTGTTAAGTCTGCCATTTGCCCTTTGTTTTTGTATTTGTGCGTCAAAGTTTTAATAAATAAATAAATATGTGACGGTAGATTGACTACCGTCAGTTGGGAGTCCGACAAATTTATAAAGAATTACATGCAGAAATATATGTTAATTTGATTTTAATTAATAACATTTAATTATTTGTTGTATATAGACTCAAAGCTCAAGAGAATGAAGCAATCGATGAAAGCAAATACACCGCATGTACCAAGACCAAGCGTAACGAAGTCTGACGATTTATTACTAGGTAATTTGCAATTTTTTCTAAATTTATTCGACATTTTATATCTATCAGGTCGTATAGCTTTTTGTAATTTTCTTGGCCAAGTACCTTACGTATTACTGTGTAGATTTCTTTTTAAAACAAATCAAATAATAATAATAATAATCTCAGGACAATTCACACAACGCCATCTAGACCCAAGTTAAGCTAGCTAAAGCTTATGTTATGGGTACTAGACAACTGATATAAATATATGGATGCAAATAAATTTGAAATGAACTGAATATATGTAACGAATGAAGTAAAGTCTTTTAATATATGCGTAACAGTGGCGGCCTTACCCATTGCAAGGCAGCTGGTCTCTGCTAGGCCTTTTCTCCTTCGTGAAAAGTATGTGATGCCAACGATTGGTACGGTTGAGTTGATTCTACCGCTATTCGGGATGAGGACTCCAACTCAGTGACTTTGCATAAAGATCGATCGCATAGTTATATTATTCAAAACATATACATATACTAAAATAATTAAAACTTTCCGCTAATTCATGAAAACTGCTTTATTTTAGATTTTTTATTCGTACATATGTTAGTGTTGTAATTTTGTTCATTTGAGATTAAATGCCCTACAACGGGAAGTTTTTGCAACTTGTCACTAGGCAAAACGCTCACTCACTCACTGGTTGTTTAAAATTTGCTTTGGTTGTCATGAGAGGCCCCTGCAAGACCGAGGCTCCGGACGATTGCCCCGTTTGCCACCCCCTAAGGCCGCCACTGATACGTAGATTTTAAATTCACGCCATAATTAGTCATGTACTAAGTGGTTACGCTAGTATTTAATTTGTTTTATTCAATAGTTCCAAAAAGTGAACTAGATGTCGCTGCGACATTTATGTTTAATTTATACATCGCGATGGCAAGATATTTTTGTCTTAGATCATTTTACATACAACGTTTCGTCATTAAGAATAATCTTATTAAGGAAATATACACAGTTCAGTGCTATCCTTGGAATTAATTCACCTACTACTATAGGGGCTCGATCTAGTATAGTTTAGGTCTGTAGTACAATATTAAATACTAGTTCAACTACATTTTTATAAGATTGAGGTGCTAAACAAACTAATGGACTATATGTTAGACAGTAATAAACGTCGATCCTAGCATAGTCTTCGGTGTAACGTTGTCGCTTCTGATTAATGAGATGCTATCCTTCTCGTGTCCAGAGATTACACTGTCTTCTCTTCTGTTTACATCTAAATCACGACGGAAATTAGGAAAGATACTTACTTCATAGACTAGTCTACTATTACTTAAACACTGATATAATACTCTGTTTCCCAGGTTACATCATAGCTATACCTCGAGCACTGAGCACCACTTAAATATAGTAATTGCACAAAACGCACTTGTATTTCTTTTCTATCCATAAACCTAAAGAAAGCAAATAAGGTAAGTGATGTAATTGTAAAATTAAACTCTATTTCTTTATATTAAACTTAAAAATAAATCACAGAACCTATTGGCGGTGAAGAAAACGATATAGCTAGGAGAGAAATGCTAGCATATTTACAACGGCGCAAGAGATCTATTGAAGAATCAAATGCAGAAAATAATGAGACCAAAAGCAAAAAAGTTTTGTTTCATGACGCAGTTGATGAAATCAATCAAGGTAAGCATACATCACATATAGAAAGTCAAAGAATTTTTGTAGGTCAAATTATTTTTGAGGTTATTGACAACGATTTGGTCTAATATTTAATAACCCGACTTATAGATAAATATAGTAAACAGGAAACAAGAATAATGAGATTTTTTTAAGAATAAGACGTCGATGAGTAAATAAATATACTTTTACTTACAGATACATTAAAGAATACAAATTCAAGTGGAACCATAGAAGCCAATAAAGTAGTTGCTAAATCCATACCACAAATTTCACGTCGGACGGGTCTGTTCAATATCAGTAATATTACAAGTCCTCTTCATATTGCATATAAATCGCAACTTTCCAATCGCCATATTGCAGATAACAAAATTAACACGCCAGCCCATGACGACAAGTATTATACATTAAGTCAAGAAAAAGTACATAAGATCTTCAATCAAACGCAAAAAACAAAAGACAAAGAATTATCAAAAATGATTGTTAATGAACTTAAAGCAGGCACCGAGATTGTGGGTGATAAGCATGCTTCTATTATGTCAAATATTACATTCACATCTGAAAATGATACTTTAACAGCAATGGCATTCATTGCTGGTAATTTATTAAATAAACTTTGGAATATAGAAAGAGATGCAAGGGATGAATCAATGGAAACTGAGATATTGAAACATGAAAAGATTTCAGATCTAATTGAATTATTCAAAGAACCATTATCTTTGCGACAGGAAATATTTCTTAAAAATGCATTAGAACAACTTTCTGAGGCTGTAAACTACAATAAAGATCCCAGCAATGCTTCATTATGTGAAAAAATTGAGAAAGCTAAGAATTACCTAGAGGATGCAAAAGATTCCCAACAAAATGAAGATCATATAGGTTGCAAAAAACATAATGAAGAAAATGGACCAAAACAAAATACTAGCTTAAAAGCTATTGAAAAAATGAGTAACATATTAGGATTATTACAAAAATTTGAAACTGTTCAAAAGCATATCAGTAATTTAGAACATGAACCATTAAATGTCGGTGAAAATAAACCAAAGTTTAGAACGAATTATTCAATGGATGAGTTCTTAACAAAAGACGAATCGTCTTCTTTGAATATATATGGTAAAATATTAGAAAAAATTACAAAACTGATTATTCCAAAAAAGAAATGTAAGAAAATAACAAATAGAATAAGAAACCAGAATATCTTTCAAAATAATGATGATATTAAAGCAAAACTAAAAGCTTTGTATGGAGTCGACTTGGGTGATATCAATTTGACAGTTAAAGATAAATTAATATTTGATTATTTATTTAATATTAAAAATCAAAGATGTCCAATGCAGCGAGACAATTTAAGTCCCGTGTCTAATACAGAAGGAGATATTTTACTTAATCTCTCGGAATTTTTCAAAGTTAAATCTATAACAGATTTGGTTAACCTTTTAGAACCTAGCAAACAGCAGAATAATATTTTTCGAACCATCTTGTCTACAACTACTGCTCCAATAACAGAATCTACAGTTTCTGCAACAACTTTAACTGTTTTGTCTCCTGATAATATGAAATTGGATAAATTGAATAAAACAAAAGAGAAATTAAAAAATCACTTGAAATCTATTATAAATGATCTAATTGAATTACAAAATGTAAGTGGTATACCCGTAAAAGACAGAAAAATTCAAATATATGATATATTGCCTTGTATATTCAATGTTTTTAATAAAGACTTTGGAGGCATAAAGTCAAGTAAATACGAAAATCCTATAGAAATAGTTAAAAACTTATTTGAAAAAATAAAAAAAGACTTTAAATATATACCACAAACACGCAGATTCAGTTCAGTTCCTGGACTAAGGCCAAAGTCAGCTGTAATCTGGGAGAGAGTAGCAAAAAATTTAGGCAATAAACAGAAATTGAATACACGCAGAAATTTAGATACATCAACTAAATCTTACGAAGATATAAAAAAAGAGATCAATAAAGTGGAGAATTCTGGATCAAATGTTTATAAAAATCAGGCTATACAAAAGAATGTGCATCCCGCTAAAAAACTAGTGTTACTAAAAGCCTTGAATGAAGATGTTAAACAATACATTGATGTACTAAAAGATATTAATGTATTCGTACATGATATAAATAATGTAGCAGCCGATAAAAGTGACATACAGGAGTTCATTGAAAATGCTGCAATAAATATAAATCTCAATAAAAAAGTTTTACATAGTTTAAATTTACAACAGAATACTATGAATAAAATAATACCAGAAATAAATAAGTATAATGGTATTAAAAATCAAAACACAAGAATGCAACCCCTAAAATTACATAATGTCCCTCCTTCTAACAATAAACTAAAATTGTCTAGAGATGAAATAGTAAACCAGTTAATCAAAAACCGCTTAGAGTTATATTTAAAGATTAAACATGCTGAAGGGGTCGACTTGGACGCTGATATAAATTCAAGAATAGCAAATAAAATTCTCAATTATTTACAAAATGGGAACAATAACTTAGCTAGGGATTTGTATAAAGTATTTGTGGCCCGTAATGAGCAAAGTAGATTTGATAGTAAGTATTTTGGTAATTCAATCACACAAAATGATAACAATTTTAAAATACATTTTATTTTCTGTTAAATCTGGTGAATTATAAATTGATTATATTTCCGCAGCTGTTCCACGATCTGATGCTGAGTTCGATGTAGATCGACATTCTGAAGCAGTGGCATCTCGGAAGGAACCTATTATACCATTCGAAGATATAAATTCAGACAATAATCCAACTAAACCATTGACAAAGGATCTTTTAATTAAGCAGTTATTGAATATAAAAAATATGTAAATTTGGTGCAATTATACGTACTTAATTAGGATTTTCTACATTTCTATCTTTTACTAATAAAAAAAAATAATATTCATAAAATTTATGTGTTATGTTTGAAAGTGAATACCAAATTAAACTGAGTATTAAAAATCATTGTCATCATAGTACAAACATCTACGAGTTTTATTCCTAATCTTATTTTTAACTCGGTGGTCTAGTGGTTTAGCACACCACTTTACTATCCGATAGTCGCGGGTTCATTCCTCGCACGGTACAAACATTTGTATTCATGAGTATGATTGTTTGTATCGGTCTGGGTGTTTTCTATGTATAATATATATTTATTTACAAAAAAATGTATCCATGTATTTATATCAGTTGTCTAGAACCCACACAAGCTCTGCTTAGCTTGGCACTAGATGGCGTTGTGTGAATTGTCCTGAGATATTATTATTTTTATAACTAGCTGTTCCTGCCACTTCGTCCGCGTGGAAATTAACTTTATTATCTAAAAGAAAAGTAGCCTAAGTTACTCCTTACTACATCAGCTACTTGCCAAAAAAAGTCCTTCCAAAATCGTTCCAGCCATTTCAGAGATTAGCCGGAACAAACAGACAGATAGACAAAAATCGTAAAAAAAATATTTTGGTGTATGTACCGTATTTATATACATATGCATTTAGTAAAAAACGGTTATTTCAATATTACAAATAGACACTTCAATTTTATTTATATGTACAGATTGAATACAGAAAGTGTATTCAATTCATATAAGATTATTTTAACATAATACAGATTTTTGCATTCCGAAGGACTAAGATCGTCATCGTGAGGTGTGGGTACGTCATGATACGTGAGTCTTTTAATATAATAAGGCACAAAAATTTTAACTTCTTAAACTTTAAACTTTGTAGGGACTGGTCTGCTCTTATCACTACGATGGATTTAATCTTATTATGTACTAGCTTTTGCTTGCAGCTTTTACTCGCGTTAATTTATCTCTTTAGGGGTAGAATTTATCCTTTCTTAGAGGATGCCTACGTCATAGTAGCTTAATACATGCAAAATCTCAGCCTGATCGGTTTAAAATTGACAAAGTTTCATACAAAGTTTCATTCCCTATTTTATCCTCTTGGTGGTAGAATTAATCAAAATCCTTTCTTAGCGGATGCCTACGTCATAACATCTACCTGCATGCCAAATTGCAGCCCGATCCGTCCAGTGGTTTGGGCTGTGCGTTGATAGATCACTATGTCAGTCACCTTTGAGTTATATATATTTAGATTATATATATCTTAATATATTAGTGCTGGTTGGTAGTTTGTATTCACACGTTTCGACTTGTAAAACGTGAACTTACAAGGATTGTTTAAAAGAGCAACACACAAGTTTCTTGCTCATTCTTCTTGTGATGAGAGATTTCCGAATAAGCAGTAGATTAAAAAAATTGTTATGACTATTCAAAAGTGCTTAAATTAAGTTGATTTGAATAAATGATTTTCTATTCTACTTCATGTTATCAGTTTGTATTATTTCTATCTAACTTACTATGACGAGTATTATTATTTTTCTTTTTAATTTTTCTTTTATCTATGGCTGGACTAATTTTGCCCCGTAAATATTGCGGTAGTATATTCATACAACGGTTCTTTAATTTTTGAAAATCGAATATGGACCGCCTCTTTCTTTCGGCATCCAAACTATTTGGCCATCTTAGCGTTGTGTCTTCATATTCATTTAACGTTCTTCTATTTAAATCGTCTAGTTTTTTCTTTGCCAATTCTCTAACAATCTCTGATTTAGGACGATTTTTGTGTAAGAGACCTAATACATCCTTTGAATTTCGAAATAACTTTTTTATTCGCTTCAAAAATGATTCTTTCTTTTTACTTGCAGTTCTGTTGTAGACATTCGTTTTAATAGTATTCTGATTCCTTATAATTCTTCTAACTTTGGTTTTTAAACCATGTAAATCATTATTTATCCTTATTAATATTTTATAAGCAATATCTATATTACTAGGTATCATTCGTCTGCTTTGAGCAAAGTCGATCAATTTTAGTGCATCATTAATTTTGATAACGTCCTGATATAGAGTTATATATAATAATTTCATGTTATATATGCGGTCGAATTGTGAGCTGTTGCCAATAGTTTCTATCAGATTTTCGTATTTTGTACCAACCTTTAGTAAATCGTTGGTCAGGTTGTAAATTGGATCATCAACTCTTAAACCAGTAAACGCGAATTCAACAAAATTATATTGAGTTATAATTCTACTTAATAGTTTCCTGGATTTCTGAGATAAAGTATCCAAGGCAACAGTATATGGCATCTCATTATCAATAAGCTGAATCATTTCAATAACAAAATCCTTTGATGTTTTTCCCGACATTCCGTATTTCCGCGAATGTCTTCTGGAATTTCTATCAATTGTAAATTCTGTTTCATTTTTATTTATTTCAATATGTTCTTTTCCGTTCTTGTGAATGTAATATTTCATTGCACGGAACAAACCTTTTAAGTCTTTGGGTAGATTTGATGACTTTGGTAATTTTTGTATTGTAATCATATCTTTAATTACTTCTAAAATATCATGTTTAAGTTTATGCATATATTTTTCTTCGCTTCTAAGATCGTATTGTGGAAATATATTAAATTTATAAAATGACATGTATGTCTTATTAGTAGTTGTTTTATTTTCTTTATAGTCCAATAAAGTGTCATTATCCAAAACTTTAATAAATTGAAGAAGACTATCTTTTATTCGTATTAATTCTTTAAGTTCATCCTGCTTATCGTTAACTATGCTGCTTAATGGAAATAATACATTTTCTTTTAGATCTTGAATCTTGTCTGTTTTATTATTATCCTCTACTGTCGTCTCTGTAACATTTGCTTGTGGTATGTCCCTTTTCATTATATTTATTACATTAAAATCTCCCATTTCAGTTAAATTTTCATTTATGGAATTATTGAGTTTGTCAATTAAGTTATCTGAAATTATATAAATATTTAAAACACTGTTAACCATTATATACTTTTGATACTACTCTGGATATTTCGATTACATTACATACAACTAAATAATTCTTATTTTACTCACCAGGTAATCTTTTTTGTACTGATGCTAATAAGTCAATGACATTTTCAGTTGCTACTTCTACCGATGTTTTGTTGTCTTCACCATTTTTGATTGCATTTGTAATATTTAAATATGGTTCATTTATAAGTAATTCAATGTTTGTGCGATTTTCTTCATTAGCTTTTGTATATTCGTGGCTGATAGAATTTCCAATGTGCGGGGATTTGTATATAGGTTTGTTTATACTTCTTAAAACTTCTTCAAATTCTAGATAGTCTGCATCGGGTGTTACAATAGAATCCACATAATTCGAGTTAATTTGTGAAAAATCTAAAATGATTAAGTTTATTAATGGAATAATACTTTAATTACAAGATGGTACTTTCTTTAATAACCAACGTATACCATAATATGTAAACCTTACCTTTGTTGATAGGTAATGCTACATTTTCCGTCCACATATCTTTTTTAGAATCTTTTGTTTCTTTACTAACTTGCAATGGTTGCACCCCATAGAACCAATCTAATAATTCTTCAAATGTTAGTTTTCGTTTATTGTTTCCTTCAACAATCTCTTGACTCTGGGCCTGTGTTACTGAGCGTATCAGTCTGTTTGATACTTTATTGCCTGAATGTAACTCATAAACTAAATAAAACTATTTTAACAACTATATACATCCTTACTCCTTACTAATATTATAAATGCGAAAGTAACTCTGTCTGTCTCTCTGTCTGTCTGTCTCGCTTTCACGTCAAAACTACTGAACCGATTTAAATGAAATTTGGTACACAGATAGTCTAGACCCTGAGAAAGGACATAGACTTTTGAATTTGACTTTTGAAACAAAAAAAAGGTTGTAAGAGGTTGAAAGTGGGGATGAAAGATGGTATGGAAGAATCGCCATTTTCGAAGCTAAAGGCTTGTAACTTATTTTTGAGACTGTTGATTAAATGTGAATAAATATGACATTAAAAGTTTTAGAAAAAATTACCCTTAAGGGGGATAAAAGTTAATAGATAATAAAATGGATGAAAGTTTTTACATCCGAATAACATATAGACTATAAATATTTAAAAAGATATTATGTAAATTGGTCGACTAGTAATGATAAGCATGATGCAGACAAAGTCGGACGGGTCAGGTAGTATATAATATAATCAGTATCACTTGATGCTGTATCCGAAATGAACTACTTCATTAAACAAAATAGATATTCCTACATTTTTTTGAGGGGTTTGGACTATCGTCAGGTACTTGGACCTGTAGCACTGCGACCTACACAGATCTATTGTGCTCACCGTTTTTAGAGTTCGCTACCCTAGACCCGTCTGGGACAAGAATTGAAGGATATTCTTAGGAGCGTTGATTTTTATCTCCTCAAGATAGAGTGTAAGCTTGTATCTTTTAAATTACGCAACTGATTTTCAATATCGCAATTGATTTTAATGTAGTCACCAATAGACTAGAAAAAAGCAAGTGTTTCTGGTTGGGCTAACTTCATGCTCATCCTATCATCCTCCACTAATGCCCCGCCAGCGTAAACCGTTAGCGCTGGCGGGTGTACCATTCCAGTATCATCCTTTAAAAAAAACAGCATTAGACTATAAAAATCTTAGATACAAAGAGGAACACTTGTTTTTTTCTAATCTATGATTGTAATAGAGTAATAAGCAATAATCATAAACGGCTGTAGTAGTCAGAAAAAAAATATTTCAATTTAACCGCCTCGGTGGTCTAGCGGTTAAGCACACTTTACTATTCTATGGTCGCGGATTCGATTCCTCGCACGGCACAAACATTTGTATTCATGAGTATGATTGTTTGTATCGGGGTGTTTTTATGTATATTATGTACGTATTTACAAAAGAAGTATCTATGTATTTATATCAGTTGTCTAGTACCCATAACACAAGCTTTGCTTATTGTGGGATTAGACGGCGCTGTGTTTCAAAGGAAAAAAATAATATACCAAGAGGCGAGTGATGATTCTTACCTTTTCTTATATTCTCTACAGTCATCATCAGGACCCGGTGATCAATATTGATGATGTCATCAGATTGACATCTCTGTACCGATCCACAGTCCCACTTGCCGTCTTCATCACAACTGCATTCGGTACAACCCAAGCAAATATTGTCTGCGTGCAGATTTTTTTTTTATAACTTCTCGCCCCGGCTTCGCACGGTTGTACATGTATTATATATATAAACATTCCTCTTGAATCATTTTATCCATTAAAAAAAAACCGCTTCAAAATCCGTTGCGTTTTTTTAAAGATTTAAGCATACATAGGGACGGACAGACAGCGATAGCGACTTTGTTTGACCTGCGTGAAATTTATAGCCTATATGTTATTCTGATGTATAAGCTATATCACTGTAAAGTTTCATTAAAATCCGTTTAGTAGTTTCTGCGTGAAAGAGAAACAAACATCCATCCATACTCATAAACTTTCACGTTTATATTATCATTATATAGTATTAAAAACAAAGTCGCTGTCGCTGTCTGTCCTTATGTATGCTTAAATCTTTAAAACTACGCAACGGATTTTGAGCCTTTTTTAATAGATAGAGTGATTCAAGAGGATGGTTTATATATATAATACATGTACACCCGTGTGAAACCGGGGTGGGTAACTAGTTAATAATAAGATACATAGATACAGACACCTAAAAAAAAAGAAATTCAGTCCCATTTCTTGGCAGTTCTTCTCAATTTAATCTATATACTGAACTGGAGGGTAGGGAAAAAATATAATATAAAAAACTAGACGTTTATAAACAGCTGAAACGTTTTACATGAATAAATTATATTTATTTAACACTTGAATAAAACAATATTGCGACTATAAATTGAGATGTAAGCTATCCTATCTTTCAAGTTGGATCAAATTGCACACAATTGCAAATCAGGTTTGCAATCGGTTCAGTAGTTTAACAGTCCATCGCAGACAAACAACGTGACACGTAATTTATATATATAAAGATTAAGTAATATGATTACCTTTATGACAGTCAGTGTAGCGAGATATGAACGGTACACATTGGTGAATTGAAGAGGACGATTCTGAAATAAAAATATTTAGTAATATATTAATAACTAGATATAGATCAAAATTAAATTTGGTACACAGATAATCTAGACTCTGCGAAAGGACATAGGCTACTTTTTAATACGAAAAAGATTTATAAAGGGTCGAAAGAGGATATAAAAGGTGTTATTTTTAAAGCTAGAAGCATATTTATTTATATTTAATCAGCAGCCTAAAAAATAAGTTTTAATCTTATTTTTTACATATATACATGGGAAATCGTTATTTCTAAAGGCTTTTTGGGTTAGATGATTAATTATTGGTAATTTATTTGGTCAAATATACGCGATATATACCCGAATGAATTCGCAGGCACAATTAGTATTAATTCAAAGTTAAAAAAAACTAATAAAATCAATTGAACGTACCTTTTTCTATGAAATCGAACATCATCGAATCGACTGCATCCCTGAGAGTTGGATTATGATTGTCATCATTATTTGTATCACCATCATCATTCAATAGATTGGCCGCCAAACTGTAGTAGTTACATTTACTGAAAATCAGATTCAATGTTTGTATTGACGGTAGGAAAAGAATTCTAATACAAAAAGCGGTTAAAAGGTCCTACATGAATATCTAAATAATATTTGATTTGTGATGATTGAAATATTTTACTTACTTTTTTACAAATTTATTAGAATTAAAGAATTTATTCAAAACAATACAAAATTGTAACAATAACATTTCTATTTTTTTTTATAAAGAATTCAACTGCTAATTGTATTCTGCTGACGCACGTATATATATAAGTATATAATACAAAATATAAAATATAAAACGCTGGACAATTAATACAGCGCCATCTCATCCCACGGTTAGCAGAGCTTGTGTTATGGGTACTAGACAACTGATATAAATACTTAATTACTTTTTTATGTAAATACATACATAATATACATAGAAAACACGCAGACCGATACAAACAATCATACTCATGAATACAAATGTTTGCACCGTGCGAGGATTCGAAGCCGCGACCATCGGACGTAAAGCGGTATGCTAAATCGCTAGACCACCGAGGCCGTCGGTCTATATACATATACCTTTACCTGGATTCATCCATAATAACACAGTCTTGTCCGTAGCACAATTTGCAGTCAGCATCGTCACTTCTTCCAAACATCGAAGGGGCTTTCGTAAAGTGGAACCCATTTTGGCTGGATACTGTCACTATCAGATAAGACATTTGTGAAAGACAAATAAAATAAATAACTAATTATTAAATAATTAATTTTTATAATAATTGTTAACATAAAAACTTTCATCCCCTATTTTATTTAACCCCTTAAGGGTAAATTTTTTACAAACTTTGAAGGTCATATTTATTTATATTTAATCAACAGCCTTAAATATAAGTTTCAAGCTTCTAACTTCTAGCTTCAAAATTAGAGAATCTTCTTTACAATTTTTCATCTCCCCTTTCAACCCTTTACAACCCATTTTGTCTGTCAATATCAGGTAAGAAATGCGTGAAAAACAAAGAAAGTGAAATACAAATAATCTTTATTCAAATAAACTTAATATACGCACTTTTGAATAGACATATTTTGATTCTACCACTCATTCGGAATGCAGATGCATAACAAGAAGAATATGCAAGAAACTTATGTGTAGCTCACTAAAGAAATAAATGACTAATTATTAAATAAAAAAAAATATTTTTACGACCTAGTTGTAGATTTTTTTTAAGTTTTATAATAGTTGTTATCCCCAACTTCATCCGCGTGGAACCTATCATTTTTTTTATTAAAATAAATAACATTCATAAATAAAAGTAGCTTAAGTTATACATTAGCTATACTCCTTATAACATAAACTATGGGTGAGTGTAAGTTACGTCAAAATATGTTTTATTTTTCAACTATCTGACACGCGTAACTTCGTCTGCATCACATTTACTTGGCACACATGTCGCCCAAATGAAAAAAATCTTTTTAAATTTTAGCCTATGTGTTACTCATTACAATATGGCCTATAGGCTAATGTACAATATATATAGGTTAATAATAATTTAATGCCTGATGTATGAGCTATATCACTGTAAAGTTTCATTAAAATCCGTTCAGTAGTTATTTCGTGAAAGAGTAACAAACATACACCCATCCATCTATCCATCCATACTCATAAGCTTTCGTGTTATATATATAATATTAGTAATAAGTAAGATATTCAAATTTAAATTAAAAAACCATTTATTCATGTAGGAAATTTTAGCCGCTTATGACCGTAAATTTTTTTATATTATATTTTTTTCCTACCGTCAAGTTCAGTATATATATCCAATTGAGAAGAACTGACAAGAAACTCAATTAAATTATTTTTTAAAGCCAGTTTATTTAGAATGCATCTGTGCTGTTATAAGTTTTTTTTTACCCTTGCGACATTGGATTCTAATATATTCTTACAAATGTGGGTAAGTCCTCGCGGTTACGGAGGAGTAAACAAAACAAAACAACAAACAACTTACCGGGGATTCCGCAGATGCCGACGAACAGACAAACAGACAAAAGGCGCATGCTGCCGCGTTACCAAGTGAACTTTACGGGTAACTTGTGTTTTGTAATCTGAAACTTTGTTGATATGTTGACGCACATTTCAGGCGCGGATTTGGATGGTTCCATTCAAAATACTAAATCGCATTTTAAGAAATTAAGACATTAAGACCACATGCCCACTGGTGGGTATGGTAAGAAAGGAAGTAAATAACGCGATGACTGCGAACAGGGATGAATGGAAGCGAAAAACATATTACGCCACAAATAAATGGGATAAGAAAGAAGCAGATGATGATGCCCACTGGTGGGTCACTCCGCAACGAAAGTAAATTTACATGTTGGGACCGGGTGAACACCCGTGGGCACTTCAATTGAAATAAATCTACGAGTTAAATAATGTCTACATCAAATTGTTGTACATTCAAAACATGTTTCAAAAATAATATAGGTAATTAGCAATAAAAAAATGCTGGACCCTATCTGAGAAAAAAGATTTTACAATGTGGTCTTCAAAGTGTTAAGAATTTATTTAGACTAATACAAAATGATTCATCATCATCATCATCATCATCGCAGCCCGGAAGACGTCCACTGCTGGACATAGGCCTCCCCCAAAGATCTCCACGACGATTAAAATGATTACAATAGCAAATCAAAATTCAAATTCAAAATATCTTTATTCATGTAGGTCTATCACATACTCTTATGATATGTCAAATCTACCGTCAGTTCGGAATTATTTCGAGATGAGAAGAACTGACAAGAAACTCAGCTCGTATTCTTTTGAAATAAATGTTGTACATGTTTACAATAATACAGATTCATTTTTCAAAATCAAATTTGGAATAATAGCGTGACCACCAGCAATGCATAACTGATGCACAGTTGAGAGCTTCAAAAATGACGATACTTCCATACAATCTTTCATCTCCCTTTCCAACCCCATATAACCCTTTTTTCGCATTAAGAAGTAACTTATGTCCTTTCACAGGGTGTAGATTATCTGTGCACCAAATTTCATTTAACTCGATTCAGTAGTTTTGGCATGAAAGCGCGACAGACAGACTGAGTTACTTTCACATTTATTACAGTAGTAAGGTAGTAAGGGTTATAGATTTTTTATACTACGTCATTAGCAAGCATACGGCCTATCGAATGGTAAACGGTTACCGTAGCCTATGGACATTATATATATTACACCGATTGACAATATAGAATTTTTACAATTATTTCTGTGGGAAAATGGGGCTGCGGGAGTTCGCGCATCAGTGGCACCGGAGGCGGAGCGAGTACGAGAGGACTGCTGGTGGTACGCGTTCAAGAAGGAAGGACACCGCTGAAGACGGAGAGCTGCCCGGCACCGATGCCGTTTTTGTTTCGTCCGCTGCCCCAGAAGGGGGAGAGTGCGAAAGAGGGGACAGAAGTAGAAATAATTTGTAGGGGTCAAGAGAATGCGTGCTTTTCAGCGCGAATTCCCCGCAGATTCGGCCAGTACAACCGAGAGGTTGGAATGGCCATGGGTTGGTGGAGGGTTGTGGGAAAATGGTTATAAAAATAAGTTTTTTTATAGCACAGGGGACAACTCACCTGATGGTAAGTGATTACCGCCGCCCATGAGCACCGGCACGACAATAAGAGAATTTTAAGTCCATTGCCGGCCTTTTCAAATACTAATTTAAATTCAAAAATCATTTATTCATGTAGGATATATTAGCCGCTTATGAACGTCAATTTTTTTACATTATTTAAATTTCTTCTCTACCGTTCAGTTCGGTATATCCAATAGTGAAGAACTGGTAAGAAACTCAATTGGATTACTTTTTTTTTAAAGCTAGTTTATTTGCAGTCTATATTTATATAGGTGTCTATGCCTAACATTAAATAAAATTCCTGTACATGAACAAAACTATTGCCATACACGTACGTCATTCAAGTAATCGTTTTAAGAAGAAATAAGCACTTTTCTTGAAGGTTTCCATAACGTATCGGAAATACCATTGCTGGAAGGTGATTCAATAATTTGGTTTTGCGTGGCAAAATGTTGTTTAAGATAATTTAAAAGGTCCCCTAAATCCGTTGTAACTGTAGAAACGTGAATTTTCCTTGCATGTTTACAAACAGACCGTGCTGTTGTTGGAGTCGGCCGATTTATTTAGTATTCTGGTGGTTTTCGAAGATGTTGGAGTGGTTGCTGGTGCTGGTGATGCACCAAGCTGTGGCCAGAGGTATGTACTGATGACTGAGGTTATTTATTATATCACGTAGGTGGCAAACAAGCATACAGTCCATCTGATTGTAAACGGTTACCGTATCCTATGGCCGCCTGAAACACTAGGGTGTCACGTGCGCGTTGCCGACCCTTAAGAAAACTTAATATACCCTTCTTGAAAACCCCATACTGTAGTCTCTCGAGAAAACTTCGGCAGGTAGTTCATTCTAATTCAATTGGGTGATGATGAAATGGTGCACCCGCCTGCGCTAACGGTATAGTCTGGTGATAGAATGTGTACGTAGTCAGGTTAGTTAGACGTTTGTGGACAATTCAGCATGATTATATATTATGGTTTCTAGATCATGTTTAGGTAGACCTGTTAGTAATGGTGCCATTAGGGGAAAGGGGATTGTTAGTAACGTGGACTGTTGACTCCAATGCTAGCAATGTACCACATCATGGTCGGGTTGACCTTTACACGTTCCTCATGGAAACCACAGTGATAAATTCCTGGTGAATGTGTCATGATGGGCTAACTGACATGACCTCATGCTCATCTTATTATCCTCCACTGGTGCCTGCCAGCGTAAACCGTCAGCGCATGCGTGTGCACCATGCCATTATCATTTATTTAAAAAATGGTATCATCAATGACTTCCCTCCACCCAACTTTACTGCAGCCATGATGTTTTTTTATGGCAACTACTTCACTTAACTTTCTAGGTTTTTTTTCACGGGCAGAATTATTTTTGTATATTTATGACCGCTGGACAACCTCAGTGGTCCAGCGGTTTAGTGCACCGCTTTACGACCGATGGTCGCGGGTTCGATTCCTCGCACGGCACAAACATGAGTATGATTGTTTGTATCCGTCTGGGTGTTTTCTATGTATAATATATGTATGTGTTTACAAAAAAAACAAGATATCTATGTATATGTATCAGTTATCTAGTACCCATAACACAAGCTTTAGCTAGCTTAACTTGGGTCTAGATGGCGCTGTGTGAATTGTCCTGAGATTATTATTATTATTTATTGTAGATAGGCCTCGATGGTCTATGGTTCGATTCATTCGATAGATACACATAGAAACTTGTGAAGCTATGAATAATATATATAGAAAACACCCAGACCCATACAAATAATTATAGAGATGTCTATAACATATATATATAAACATTGTAAAGAAACTGGCTTTTTAAAAAAGAATGAAATTTAATTGAGATTCTTGCCAGTTCTTCTCAATTGGATCTATATACTAAACTGGACGGTAGAGAAGAAATATAATATAAAAAAATGACGTTCATAAGCGGCTAAAATGTATCTTTGAGTACAAAACGCGCTTGCTAATTCAAAACAAAGAGAAATTTGTTTGTTTTTAATTTTACAAAATTGTTGTTGATTTTTCGCCAGTTACTGGTATTGTCTCAACTGTATTTAGTTTTATAACTGACTTAGACACTCGCATATCTGCTTGCATGTATTTAGACGGTTGACTGGCGGTTTAGTACTCCGCCTGACTTCCGATCGTTACGGGTACGATTCCTCGCATGGCACAAACATTTGTATTCATGACTAGCTGTTCCTGCGACTTCGTCTGCGTGGAATACAACTTTATTTTTCTAAAATAAAAGTAGCCTAAGTTACTCCTTATCACATCAGCTACCTGCCAAAAAAGCCCCGTTAAAATCGGTCCAGCCATTTCAGGGATTAGCCGGAACAAACAGATAGACAGACAGACAAAAATTGTAAAAAATGTTATTTTGGTGTATGTACCGTATTCATATGCGTGTAGTAAAAAACGGTTATTTCAATATTACAAACAGACACTCCAATTTTATTTATATGTACACCCGTGCGAAGCCGGGGCAAGTAGCTAGTCAAAAATAAACTGAATCTCTAAAAGATGAGTGAACAATGTTTTAAGATTATTATTATATTTCAGATACACCACATAATATCAACTATACAACCATACGAGTGGAGAACTGTCCTGATGTAGGCTACTTCTTCCAAAGGGAGTTGACTCCTAATACAGTAGATCCTGGGCCTTGCCGCCTCTGCTTCTGCCAGGGTAGTGGAACCGCTGTATGCTGGGTGAGGGAGAACAGAAGATGTGACGTGGAGGGCTACCATCACCATCATGTTGGTAGACGGTTAGTTCACAGTTTGTGTTATTATTTAAGACTAGCTGTTACCACGACTTCGCCCGCGTGGAATTTACCTTTATTTTTCTGAAATAAAAGTAGCCTAAGTTACTTCTTATTACATCAGCTACCTGACAATAAGAGTCCTGTCAAAATCGGTCCAGCCATTTCAGAAATTAGCCGGAACAAACAGTTCGACAGACAAAAATTGTAAAAAATATTATTTTGATGTATGTACCGTATTTATGTAGTAAAAAACGGTTATTTCAATATTACAAAGAGACACTCCAATTTTATTTATATGTATAGATTTCAATTCAAATTCAGAATATCTTTATTCATGTAGGTCTATTACAGATTCTTATGATATGTCAAATCTACCGTCAGTTCGGAATGATTTCGAGACGAGAAGAACTGACAAAAATTTAAAGATTAATTTTGAACGAATCTCAAGTACTTAAGCATTTTTGGTGTTAGGAATAATAATTAAAATGAATGGAATACACACAGCGCCATCTAAACACACAGCGCCATCTAGTCCCAACTAATACATTTTTTCTTCCAAATACATACATAGAAAACACCCAATACAAACAATTATATTCATGAACTAGCTTTTGTCCGCGGCTTCGCTCGCGTTAATTTATCTCCTTAGAGGTGGAATTTATCAAAATCCTTTCTTAGGGGATGCCTACGTCATAGTAGCTTTATGCATGCAAGGTCTCAGCCCGATCGGTTTAAAATTGACAATGTTTCATACAAACTTATTTTATCCCCGTAGGGGTAGAATTAATCAAAATCCTGTCTTAGCAGATGCCTACGTCACAACATCTACCTGCATGCCAAATTTCAGCCCGGTCTGTCCAGTGGTTTGGGCTGTGCGTCGATAGATCACTATGTCATTCAATCACCTTTGAGTTATGTATATTTAGATACAAATGCTTCTTGTTTTTTCGGACTACTCTAATGCTGTTGGCTGCAGCTGGCCTTTCAGCTTCACCGGACGATAGAGGTCGAGTGCAGATGGCACTCTAAACCAAAGGAAGGACTTATGGAGCAGCTGAAGACTAATTTTGGCCTGACGGATATGACTTCAATTTGAGGGCACTGCTAGCGACGTCGACTTGGTCAAAAGTTTCGTCCACAATGGACTTGGACGATGATAGATCGTGGGGCAGGAAAATATTGTGAATATGAGCTAACAGTTTATTGTTTATTTTCAATTTATTTCTAGAGTAACTACTTTAGTTACTCTAGAAATTTAGTTGATAATTCTCACGTCACGGTCTATTTCTGTACCAAAATTAATTTAAATAAGTCAGTCTTAAGAGCGTTATTACTTATAGACAGAATTAAATTTGCATTTATAATATTAATAAAGAATAGTAAATGAAATAAAACAATCTAGCTAAGTACGAATACATTGTTATCCCTTCCGGTTTTTTGCGAGGGTAGTGGGGCACAAGATGGCGGATGGACAGTGACTCGGACAAAATGGCATTATACAAGCAGCCCGCGAACGGAACGGACGTGTCCAGCGCGTGGGTCTAATAATGATTATGATTTAAATATTTACAGGCAAATCGACGGAGCACGGGTGCGCCGGAGTCCAGTTGGATTGAGTGATATTTTCTTCAAAGATGCAGCTAGACAAGGTTAGTGATAAACTGATTATAGAATTAATAAGTATTGATTTATTCTTGTGCCCTATACACCCTCCTCTTTATGAAATTATATCTGCATTTATATTCCATATGCATGTATTCTAATTTTGCAGTGTTCAATAGAGATTCGCCTGAAGTGTGTAAGCCGTATGAGTCGAGTTTCAGCGAGGGATGCCCTCCAAGTATTACTTATTTCTGATTAATTTAATAATAGTAGTAATGTCTTAGTAGCTTGGGACTAGATAACGTTGTGTGAATTGTCCAGGGTTATTATTATTATTGTATCGTACTTACGAATACAAATGTTTGTAACATGCGAGGAATCGAATCCGCGACCATTAGAGTTGTAAACCGCCAGACCACCGAGGCCGTTAAATTGACTTACATATGTGTCTGAAAATATGATTTAATAATTTTCGAATTTGAATTTGTATACAAAATTTTTTGCTTCCTAGCTGATTGGTGTACCGGCTGTACGGTGTGTGACTGCGATGCAAACGGACATTGGGACTGTCATATACTGAGTTTTTGTGATGACGGTAAGTGGTAGTTATTTCCAGCCCCTGATCTACATTTTTTTCGAGGCGGGTCAAAAATTAAAAAATGCCGCCCCTTAAGACTCCACCCGCCCTCTCCCTCTGGCCAACATTTTTACATCATACATATCAACATACAATTTGTCCAATTAGTATTATTGTTAATTATTGTGTCATTTTCAAATACATTGAACACAAACAATTTACTTTACGTCTCAGTGGTTAAGTTGCCAAAGACGCGTTAATGATAAGAAGAGCCCAGATTACGGGTTCTCAGTTGCTACCCCTAGATCCGGGACTGGTTGTTTCTATTCTATACTAGTGGAGACCATAACTTTTTACGCGAAAATTACTTAGATTACAACTAAAACATTTCTCTATTCAGACAAAAAGAAAAAGAAAGCAGAGAAGACTAGAAAATCACCAAAGAAAATAATAAAACAATCGCAACCGTCTGTTAAAACGATTTCTAAACTTCCAAAACAAACTACGAGGCTACCAAACCAAACATATAAGAGACCAAAACCTAAACAAATGAAAGGAGCTGCTGTTGCAGCTAAATTTATGAAGAAAGGAAGGACTGTAAAGGAAAAAGGCATAAGTGCATCTCCGAGACCAAAGATTATTAAAAAAGATATCACAGCTAAGAATGAAAAAGTAATAACATACAAAAAACCACAAAAAAACAGTAATGCTTCAGATATAGACGCTATCGCTCAAGAAGTAGTGAAACGCGTTATAACAGCAATGCGTAAACTTATAAGAAATCAAGTAAATGCTTCTTTACCAAATATAATAAAGACGGTACAAAAAAGATCAATGGAGCAGTTTCTTAAAGATCAATCAATGAATAATAATAGAAACAAAGGCAAGTATAAAATACTGGCATCGCATAGGAAGCAGTACAACAAAACGTTGCCCGTAAAGAAAAATAAACCATTGAAATCAGGAATTCATCGAAATATAGTTGTGTCTAAAGCACAGAGTAAAGACACGTATAATAGAGGACAGGATGAACTACGCAGATATAGGCGAGAGTTGAGGCAACCAATAGAAAATAATATATATAATATATATCAAGGTAAGTTTTATAGTTAGTAGTTTTATTACACTAATCTTTAGTGCTGCCAACTTTTAATTTATAATAGATTCTTATAAAAAACAATTAAATTGTCGACAATGAAAAAATGATGTACAAGGTTAATATTTTTTAGGAAATGAAACTACTACTTCTACCAGATCTAACACTACATCTACCAGATATATGGCGACTGTAACAGAAAATTCAATACTGAATTACACAAAATCCGATACATATTCTACATATTCAATACTCACAGCACCGGTAATTAGAAGTGAAAAGACGGAAAATGAAAGTAAAACATTTGTTAATAATAATGATACAACAACAAATTCAACAAGAATAAAATACAATGAAGTCAAAACAAACAATAATAATATAAGCACAATAATATCATTATCAGATATTTGGACTGCAAATGAGTTGAAGTTTAATCAATGGTTTCATTTAAAAATGTTGAAAGATGGAGAAAATAAGATGAGAGGACATGAAATAAATCATACCATAGTCAGAACTTTAAATGATACAGCACGTAATAATAAAATAATAAACTACAAAAAGAAAGTTCATAGAAATGATATCAAAAGAAAAATTAGTGATTCAAGAAAATACAATTTGAAAAGAATCGTGAATTACAAAAATAACGGAGATAAACGGAAACTTGGTAATGAGATCAAAACTCAAATATATAATAAAATAGAATATCTTCAAAGTTCATTAAAGAAAATATTAGATCAATTTCGTAAGAATAATTCAACTAAAGGAAGAACGAAAGCAAATAAACTAAATGTAATCAAATACTTTAAAAAATTCTTTAGGAAAATATTTTATAAACCCAAAAATAAAACCATGAATGGCGACTTAAAAATTAATAAGCATACAATTGAATCTCTGTGTGAAAGTTTTGGTCCTTGTACTGTTACGAATAGTAATAGTGTTGTCTTACAAAAGAAACTGAAGAAATTGAATGGAGAGACCTTCAGCATAATGAAAACGATATTTATAATAAAAGGCTTACTTAAACTTTTAGAACTGCCATTGTATTATAAAAAAGGTAATGCTGACAGCTCAGACAATAAAACTTCGGATTTAACAAACGATATAAAGAAACTAAATACAGTTTTAAGAATGCCAGATGTTAATAATGATTATGGTAATAAATTAAGTGAAACACAAAAAACTCAAACATATTACATTAAAAATAATACAAAAGTATTTATAGCCTCTGTTAGAAATTTCATTTATATTTTAAACGATGTAGTTGGAATTATAACCAGTACTAATGAAAGAAACAACCAAAAACCTTATGGAAATTACCAAGGACATAAAATGTCAATTACTGATAACTTGAACTCCACAAATGCGGAACCATTCAGAAAATTACAAAATATACTACTGAAGTATAACTTTATGCAAAATAAATTCATACGAAAAATGTACAATATGCTATCAAAGTTTCAGAGGAATGTATTTCAAAATGACACTAAAAGAAGAAACTTTTATAATAAACAGTCTGTAAAAGAAAACGATAATTCTAAAGCTATTGATAATTTTTCAAGAAATATAATTGTAAATTTAAGAAAGCTTAACAATCTTGCTCGAACACTAAATACACGAGGAAGGAAAAAACGGGAAATATTGAAAGGCGATGATGGGATCGAATATTTGTTAATGCTAATGGAGTATTTAATTAAGCAAAATTATCCTATACGTACAGCACCAGGTAAGATCTTAAGGTGTTTTTATGTTATAAAAATACCTACCAACAACAACATGTAATTATTGTTATAGATAGTTCTTCACATAACATTTTTCTTAATATTCTTCCTATGTTTTTTATGTTACAGTTAATGATGGTATAGATTTAATATTAGAAGCCATTAAAAATGCACCGGATATAAAATCTGTAAAGAAAAAAGTACTCGACACTAATACAACATCCAAACCAATACACATGCCTAGAGAAGACAGTATTTCAGATAATTCGAACAGGATATCGAAAGAAGATAACTTTCGGTCTACTTTAAACGATTTTAATTCTAAAAATGCAGAACAATTTCAAGATGTTGCTAACTTAAATATTTATAAGAATGGAAAAGAAGTTGAAAATAAAACAGATCTTAGTGTTTATGAAAACACTATTACACAAGTATCATTACGAAATAATGACTATACAGAAGAACCAGTATCGGAACTTCCATTTGAATATGCCACAAATGAAAGAAATAGTAGTGGTGTTACTCAATTTGATGGTCATGAACGAGATAACGAAAAAAAATTGGACATATTTTCTGCTGATTTTAATGACGAAAATGACATCGGTGATGATTTAACATCTACTACATTAAATTCCAATTCTGATGCTGATAATTCTATGTCTAGTACACAAATTCCTGATACGACAACTGAGATTAAGCAAGATAAGATAATAATGAGACATTTCATTGCAGGCACTGCCAATGATTCTATAAAATCTAAGATAGCGTGGGCAGATGAAGATTATAGTGATGAAACTGGTAATGTAACTGACATAACCACAGATCCACTAACTCTAACGAAAATGCCTAAAAAAGGTATACAAAATATCAGTAGTATTTCTAGCGAAGTCCAAGATACAAAGAAATTGTCTCACTTGAACACTGAGGAAATAATATCAAAAAAGGAGAGAGATTTCTTAAACTCATTGGATTACGGTACGGAGAGGTCGTTACTAGAAGAATCGGATTCTAAAGATAACGTCGAAGATAGGTTTTCAAGTGACTCATTTCCATCATATTTTGTTTAGCTGACTTTCAAAGATTATACCTATGTACTTGTAAACTAAGACTGAATAAAAATACAGTGAAATCTGGTTAAGTGGGACCTGGACAAGTGACAAATCTAATAGTATTGAGAGTTGCAATGAGATCCCGGTACTTTTTCATTGAATTACCTTTGTTAATGGGACATTTCAACCTGGTTAAATGAGATTTGAATTCTAAGATTTTTTCGTTGTTTATTTATTTAACTTCAATGCACACAATATACAAAATATAGTAAAGTACATTTGGCGGAGTTAACACCATGCGGCATTTTCTACCAGTCAACCATAGGTGGTGCAGAGAATAATTGTTGGCGGTGCAAATATAATAAATGATGAACAAAATGCAATAAAATATAAACAGACCGTTAAATACAATATATATATAAGAAATACAATCATAAATTACATAAATATATACTAACTAGCTTTTGCCCGCGGCTTCGCTCGCGTTAATTCCTTTAGGGGTGGAATTTATCAAAATCCTTTCTTAGAGGATGCCTACGTCATAGTAACTTTATGCAAGTATAGTCTCAGCCCGATCGGTTTAAAATTGACGAAGTTTCATACAAACTTTCATCCCCTATTTTATCCCCTTGGGGGTAGAATTAATCAAAATCCTTTCTTAGCGGATGCCTACGTCATAACATCTACCTGCATGCCAAATTTCCGGAAAATTTCATGTCATTGTCGGTTCGATGACAGAATCATGCTCTCGCTCTTTCACTTGATTCATTCATTTACCAGTTGAATCCTTCATACTCGAGTTGGCAGAAAGTTAACTCGAGTTAGTAACTCGAGTTGACACATCTCTATTTGAATATCTCTCGCATATGCTTTGTTTGTCGGTACTATTTTAGGTTTTTCCTCCTCTAAGAAAAGAATGACTGTACATTTCTACCTTTATAAACTCTCCTCTGTAAATGAGACAACTTCAATTTTAAACCTACTTAATTGGAAAACTGTATCAACGAAAACCCTTAATAATTGGTACATAATTCTTAGTCCCTTGAGATCCCAATTAGCCAAGTTTCACTGTATATAATTAATTTATATTTAATACTTTTAAGGTAACTATTAAATCGTGATATAATATTACACTAATTTAGAATTCCCAAGCCCAAATTTAATAAAACAGGATTGTAAGTTCAGAAAACCAGGACTATCCAGTTTAAAAACAGAATGCAGTAATAGTGTTGTTATAGTTATATTAATATGTAGTAACATTCAAATAATTAATATAATCAGGTTTTTAATAAAAAGAATTTAATAAAATTATACTGTTGAAAATCAGTAATTAAGAGGCGCACATATTTTAAACTCAGGACGCTGACAAATGACTATTCAGGACTTCCCAGGACACTTCAAAAACACTAGTTCACTAGGACAGGTCCTGGGAAAACAGGACTGTTGGCAGTTCTACACTATATATCTATTTGTGCACTCGCCGTTGCTTTAAAAATTAACTTTGAAGTAACGAGTAATAAAACACTATTTCCTTCAAGACAAAATATGATATGAATATGTACACAGACAAAAACATAGCAAACAAATAGCTACAATGTACACTTGAAAAGTAAACTATAGAGTGTTTTAAGGATTTAAGAACTTCATCTAAGGACACAAAATAAAAAGCAAATCTATAAAACACTAGCTGACCCGCGTAACTTCGTCTGCATCACATGTACTTGACGTTTATCTGTATATTTCGCCCTATTTACATAATATCTTTTTAAATTATAGCCTATTAGCTGTGCCCGTGGTTTCGCGTGAAATTTATAGCCTGTGTTATTCTGATGTATAAGCTATATTACTGTAAAGTTTCATCAAAATCCGTTCAGTAGTTTTTGCGTGAAAATGTAACAAACATACATCCAAACTCACAAACCCCCGGCTTTGCACGAGTGTACCTGTATTATATATATATATATATATATATATATATAAACCTTCCTCTTGAATCACCCTAGCTTTTTAAAAATACGCTTGAAAATCCGTTGCGTAGTTTTAAAGATTTAAGCATACATAGGGACAGATAGCGACAGCGGCTTTGTTTTATACTATGTAATAATAATGATAAGATATATTATTCTTATGTATAAGAGATATTACTGGAATGTATCATCAAAATTCATTCAGTAGCTTTTGCGTGAAATATATACAAACATCTATCCATCCATACTTACAAACTCTTGTGATTTTAATATTATTAATATGTTAACTTCTTAATCTCCTTGTGGGCATGTTATGTGGAGGAACGAGGACCATATCTTATGGAAAGTGTATAATATGAATGTGGATGGATGTAACTGGAGGGGACACCCTAAGAAAAGATGGATGGATTGTGTGAAAGATGATATGAATAAAAGAAGAGTATGCTCAGATATGACGACCGATAGAGAGCAGTGGAAGAGAATGACATACTGCGCCGACCACAAATAATGGGATAAAGGCAAGGCAATGATGAACTTCTTAAGCTCCTTATAAAATTGTGAAGGCAAATCTGTTTACAATTACATTGTAGCTCATAATTTTTTTGCAGTAAAAAAACATTTAGACACGCTTTTGGTAATTATTTTGAATATTACGTATATTTTAAATTCAAAATATCTTTATTCATGTAGGTCTATTATAGACTTTTATGATATGTTAAATCTACAGTCAGTTCGGAATAATTTCGAGATGAGAATTAGTTCAAACTTTGTAAACATTTTAGCCACAAGGGGGTAACATAAAATGCTATTCACGGTCATTATTCCACGTGAAAGAAGTCGCGGACAGAGCTAGTTAAAATTAAGAATTTAGTAGACTTTAAATTCACATTTTGTAACCATTTATTAAATCATAATATAATTTATTGCTAGCTTAAGTTTACACAATGCAATTTCATTAGAAAGAATTATAGAATTATTTAACGTTGTAAATAAATATTTAATGATGACTTGTAGTGTTTATTTATATTATATTTTCTTTTCTTGACATTTCTACCAACCTTATGTAAGCAGACCTCGTCATATGGGTACTAAACAACTGATCTAAATACAAAGATACATGTATTTTTGGAAATACATACATAATTTACATAGGATACACTCAGATACAAACAATCATACACGTCACGTCCCGTCCCGCCTTTTCTAAAATAAAAGTAACATAAGTTACTTCTTATTACATTAGCTACCTGCCAATAAAAGTACTGTCAAAATCGGTCCAGCCATTTCAGAGACTATCCGGAACAAACAGACAGACAGACAGACAATTGTAAAAAATGTTATTTTGGTGTATGTACCGTATATATTCATATGCGTGTAGTAAAAAACGGTTATTTCAATATTACAAACAGACACTCCAATTTTATTTATATGTATAGATAGTTATTGTTTTATTACCCTACCGATAAATCTCCGTATTTCCCGTTTATTTTCAATTATATAGGAAAAATACTTTTACCGCTTTACGTCTGATGGTCGCGGGTTCGATTCCTCGCACGGCACAAACATTTGTATTCATGAGTATGATTGTTTGTGTCGGTCTGGGTGTTTTCTATGTATAATATGTATGTATTAACGAAAAAAAAATATATCTATGTATTTGTATCAGTTGTCTAGTACCCATAACACAAGCTTTAGCTAGCTTAACTTGGGTCTAGATGGCGCTGTGTGAATTGTCCTAAGATTATTATTATTATTATTATACTATCTATTCATTCATTCATAATTTAAGAGCTACGCTCTTGTCGGTGGAGCTCTTGCCACTATCCGCGATCTTCCATCATGCTCTTTAATTCTTGATACGACACGACTCCCATTTTGTCCTCAATTTGTTTGATGTAGCTATTCCTTGGTCTTCCCCTCCCCCTCTTTCTTTCTATTTTCCCCTCAATAATAATTTTCATGAAATCATCGCGCCGTATCAAGTGTCCTAACATTTTTCCTCGTCTATTTTCTATTGTGTTCAACATCTACCTTTTTTCTTTTACCCTGTGTAGTACTTCGTTTCTTACTTTATCCTTCCAGCTAATTCTTTCCATCCTTCTCCAACACCGCATTTCAATAGCCTCCAGTTTGTCTCTTTCCTTTTGATTTAATGTCCCTGTCTCACACGCATACAAGGCTATACTACAGATATAGGTTTTACTAAATCGTTTCCGTGAGGTCTTTGATATTTTATTTTCATATGTATATGTATATATATATATCTATAATAATTATATTGGCCAATATAATAACTTTATTGGTCAATAAAACACTTTTACATTCAATACACATTACGGCGAACCACACACTAGACATACAAGTCTGTATCGTGTGGTTCAGAAGATATCATTACACATAATTGATATGTTAGGTGCTCGGCTGACTATAATGAAACAACTTAACAATATCATGCAACACTTATGGCGTTATATATATATTATATATATATACAAACAAATTGGTACGTCTGTCTGTCTGTTAGTGTAATAGGACAGCAGACAGCGCCACAGGTAATTAAAACGATCTGGTGTAACACTGCCATGTCGCAACCGTTGTTCCGCATGGTGGGACACGGCAGTCGCCTTCCGTTAACATTATATTCGTGGGTTGCACTCAACCATCTCGTACTGCCGGTTGCAGATTTCCCTTTTATATCTTTGACGACCTCGGTGGTCTAGCGGTGTAGCACACCGATTTACGTCCGATGGTCGCGGGTTCGATTCCTCGCACGGCACAAACATTTGTATTCATGAGTATGATTGTTTGTATCGGTCTGGGTGTTTTCTATGTATAATATGTATGTATTTACGAAAAAAAAAAATATCTATGTATTTGTATCAGTTATCTAGTAACACAAGCTTTAGATAGCTTAACTTAGGACTAGATGGCGCTGTGTGAATTGTCCTGAGATTGTTATTGTTATCTATCTAGATATAATAATAATAATAATCTCAGATATAAGCTTGTGTTATGGGTACTAGATAACTGATACAAATACATAGATATTTTTTTTGTAAATACATACATATTATACATAGGAAACACCCAGATAGATAGACAGATAAGAGTAATAATAATAATTGGTTAACGCCCGCGTGTTTGAACGTATAACCCCAGTAAAAAGAGACACTGGCTGAACTCGCTAAATGTTATTTTGCCATATAAATTAAAATCTCTGTTAAAAAATAGGGGTTGGTAGTGGGGTGAAAATTTAGGGTTATACGTATATTTTTTAAAAAATATTATTTTTTTGTCAAAAGTAAGAAAAATCATTTTTGGGGTGATCCACCCTTAACATTTAGGGCTATAAAAATTTGTTATAAACCAAGAATAATAATATTATAATATAAACCAAAAATCAAATTAAACATATTGAGCGCAGCACTCGTTCACGAGTATAACGGATGATTTTTAGTTTTATTTAACACTAGCTGTATACGAGACTTCGTTCGCGTGGAATTTAACTTTATTTTTTTAAAATAAAAGTAGCTTAAGTTACTCCTTATTACATCAGCTACCTGCCAATAAAAGTCCCGTCAAAATCGATCCAGCCATTTTAGAGATTAGCCGGTACAAACAGACCGACAGACAAAAATTGTAAAAAATGTTATTTTGGTGTATGTTCCGTATTTATATTCATATGCATGTAGTGAAAAACGGTTATTTCAATATTACAAACAGACACTCCAATTTTATTTATATATAACATGTAATATTATCTTATCTGTGATTCAGATATACTTTCAATAAAAAATAATATAATTTTAATTTATTTTATTTGTGGGAGATATCATCAACATTACATACATAGTATAAAACAAAGTCGCTGTCGCTGTCTGTCCCTATGTATGCTTAAATCTTTAAAACTACGCAACGGATTTTGAAGCGGTTTTTGTTAATGGATAGAGTGATTCTAGAGTTTATATATATAATACATGTACACCCATGCGAAGCCGGGCCGAGTAGCTAGTCTATACATATAAATAAAATTGGAGGGTCTGTTTGTAATATTGAAATAACCGTTTTTTACTACATGCATATGAATATAAATACGATACATACACTAAAAAACCCCTTTTTAAAATTTTTGTCTGTCTGTTTGTTCCGGCTAATCTCTGAAATGGCTGAACCGATTTTAACGGGACTTTTTTTGGCAGGTAAATGATGTAATAAGGTGTAACTTAGACTACTTTTATTTTCGAATAATTCCACGCGGACGAAGTCGCGGGTACAGCTAGAAATAAATATAATAAATTGAATTGCGCAACAACTGCGTGGTATGTCACGTCTGTCCCTTATTGTATCTGACGAAGGTAACGCATTCAATTCTGAAATCGAAGTCAACAATATACAAACATTTGTTACGAGGTTTTTTTTTATACAGCTATAGTGGCAATGAAGCATACGGCCTATCTGATGGTAAACGGTTACCGTAGCCTGTAATAAATGAATATGGTGAAATAGATAGTATGAAATAAGTAAAACGAGATGGGGTTTAAAAAAAACCCCGCACTAAATGTACTCTGCTTCAACAACAACTTAATTGTACTTTTAAACTAGTTTATAAACAATTATTAAAATATTCATGAAGAAAAATGAATTATAATAAATAATCTCAGGACAATTCACACAGCGCCATCTAGACCCAAATTAAGCTACCTAAAGCTTGTGTTATGGGTACTAGACAACTGATACAAATACATAGATATGTTTTTTTTTTTCGTAAATACATACATATTATACATAGAAAATACCCAAACCGATACAAACAATCATATTTATGAATACAAATGTTTGTGCCGTGCGAGGAATCGAACCCGCGACCATTGTAAGTAAGGCGGTGTGCTAAACCGTTAGACCATCGAGGCCGTCGAATTTTATAATCAACTAGCTAACCGCTATAAACCTTCTTCTTGAAAAGTATAATATTCTAT